TGAACTCCTGACCTTGAGCAATCCGCCCGCCTCGGCCTCCCAGAGTGCTAGGATTACAGGCGTGAGCCACCACGCCCGGCCAACATATATAATTTTATATATAATATTATGGATGTTATACATGATTATTACAATTAGAATAAATTGAGACTACAAAAGAAGCTTGTACAAATTATAAAGACAATCCACAGTGAATTGTAAAATAAAATTCCAATATTTTAGCAAAATCCACCCAAAATAATATAGCTCTTTGCATAACTTTGATACGTTTAGCTACATGTGACAGAATTCTCAAGCAATACACATATGTGTTTAAAGCTTCAACAATAAAGATAGTTACTTGTTAGAAATCTGGAGGTGCCAGGGTCAAGAGCTCAACAATATGGGGGGAGGGCTTTCATCCTTAAGCTTGTCACCTAACTAAACAAGTTGTCTGTTGCAGCCCCAAAGATCACACTTCACACAACAGCATGTGGCCAGGAAAGAAGCAGGCAGGCGTCAATCTAAACTGAACAACAGGTCGGGCATGGTGGCTCATGCCTGTAATCCTAGCACTCTGGGAAGCGGAGGTGGGCGGATTGCTCAAGGTCAGGAGGTCAAAACCAGCCTGAGCAAGAGCGAGACCTTGTCTCTACTATAAATAGAAAGAAATTAATTGGCCAACTAATATATATAGAAAAAATTACACTCTGGGAGGCCGAGGCAGGCGGATTGCTCGAGGTCAGGAGTTCGAAACCAGCCTGAGCAAGAGTAAGACCCCATCTCTACTATAAATAGAAAGAAATTAATTGGCCAACTAATACATAGAGGTTGCTCAAAAAAATAGATAAATAAAATGAGCGACAGAAAGACCAAGCCTCCAAAGCAATGAGTTTATTTGGGAATAGGAAGGGATTGAAGCAGAGATACACGTGCTATGGTGGACATAGGTGCATCCAAAGGGATTGGGGCAAAGAGGAAACTATTTATTTATTTATTTATTTATTTAGAGACAGAGTCTCACTCTGTTGTGCAGGTTAGAGTGCTGTGGTGTCAGTCTAGCTCACAGCAACCTCAAATTCCTGGGCTCAAGGGATCTTCCTGCCTCAGCCTCCTGAGTAGTTGGGACTATAGGCATGCGCCACCACACCCAGCTAATTTTTTTTCTATTTTTAGTAGAGACAGGGTCTCGCTCTTGCTCAAGCTGGATAATTTTTCCTATTTTCAGTTGTCTGGCTAGTTTCTTTCTATTTTTAGTAGAGACCAGGTCTCGCTCTTGCTGAAGCTGGTCTGTAACTCCTGACCTCCAGTGATCCTCCTATCTTGGCCTCCCGGAGTGCTAGGATTACAGGCATGAGCCACCATGCCCAGCCTAGAGAAGACAAAAATAAGCTGTTTCTGGCCTGGTTCAGTGGCTCATGCCTGTAATCCTAGCACTCTGGGAGGTTGAGGCAGGCAGATTGCTCGAGGTCAGGAGTTCGAAACCAGCCTGAGCAAGAGCGAGACCCCGTCTCTACTATAAACCCGGAAAGAAATAGAATGGCCACTAATATAGAATAGAAAAAATTAGCTGTCCATGGTGGCGCATGGCCTGTAGTCCAGCTACTCGGGAGGCTGAGACAGGAGGATCGCTTGAGCCCAGGAGTTTGAGGTTGCTGTGAGCTAGGCTGACGCCATGGCACTAGACTCTGTCTCAAAATAAAATAAAAAAATAAGCTGTTTTGAAACAAAGACCACTGGTTGCAGGGGCTTGTCCCAGGAGTTAGAGTCAGCCATTGTTAAGCAAGCATACTTGTGCAAGCAGCTTATCTGGAATAGAAGAGTTTTGAGGAATTCCTTGCATAGTTCTCGTCATAGGCATAGTTGCATGACAGCCCCTTCTTCATGGCCTCCTGGCTCCATATTGTTAGTGTTTCACATTAGAGACCCCATATTTTTTTTTTTTTTTTTTGAGACAGAGTTCTCGATTTGTTGCCCAGGGCTAGAGTGAGTGCCGTGGCTCAGGCCTAGCTCACAGCAACCTCAAACTCCTGGCTCAAGCGATCCTCCTGCCTCAGCCTCCTGAGTAGCTGGACTACAGGCATGTGCCACCATGCCCGCTAATTTTTTTTTCTATATATATTAGTTGGCCAATTAATCTTCTTTCCATTTATAGTAGAGACGGGGTCTTGCTCTTGCTCAGGCTGGTTTCAAACTCCTGACTCGAGCCATCCGCCCGCCTCGGCCTCCCAGAGTGCTAGGATTACAGGCGTGAGCCACCACGCCCGGCCAGAGACTCCATATTAATACTGATAACTTTCACACAGATCAAAATGATCCCTTCTCTTGGAAGAGATTTTTCTTTTCAATAGGGAAGAAAATCTTTCTCAGAACTACCACCACCCAGCAGACTTTCCCTGGGTCAGAATTAGACCAATGACTGGCAAAGAGAAGCAGTGTCCACAACTGGCTCAGACACATCTTCAGGCAGACTGTGGGCAGAGGGTAGTGGGCCTACGTCCCTGAACATGTTGCTACCCTCCCAATGGATGAACAAAATTGGGCTCTGGTTAACAAGAAAGGAGGGTAATGGCTGTCACAACCTTGTCCTCTCATTTTCATTTTGGTCTGCTCTCATACTACCAAATCACAAATAGTGTATTAAATAGGCAGAAAACATGCCTAGGGTATATCACATAAAAGAAAATATTTCCATTTACAGCAACACTTGCCTAAGATATATCAAAACTGAATATTGTATTTCATTACAACTGATGCCAACCAGCTGAAGCTAGTAACAGATGTAGACTTTGAGTGACTCCTGAATGTCAGATCCTAAGTGGACCTAAATGAAGACTCCCTCCTGGCCAATAAGCAATGCGACTTGTTTTAACCAATTGAGTCAGACCTGTTGATTCATTGCATTCTCTCTAAAGTATTCATTTTTAATTCTTAATTAGCATATTACCATGAAAACCCTTTCCTAATGCTCAAAACTCCCTTGACTTCTCCCCCTCAGCAAAGTTCCCAGTGAATGTCTTCTTCACTGATAAGTTCCCTTGTCTGTTAAGTAAATTCAGATTTTTTTCTTTTTTAAATTTGGGTGATTACCAAAAACAAACTGTTGGCTAGACTTGGCCTGTGGGTTGGAAAACACAAAGCCAACTGCTGAACTAGAATTAAAGTCACCAAACCTTGGTCTATTATAAAAATTAGTCTGGAGGACCGGGCGTGGTGGCTCACGCCTGTAATCCTAAGACCCCGTCTCTACTATAAATAGAAAGAAATTAATTGGCCAACTAATATATAGAGAAAAAAATTAGCCAGGCATGGTGGTGCATGCCTGTAGTCCCAGCTACTCGGGAGGCTGAGGCAGTAGGATTGCTTGAGCCCAGATGTTTGAGGTTGTTGTGAGCTAGGCTGACGCCATGGCACTCACTCTAGCCTGGGCAACAAAGCAAGACTCTGTCTCAAAAAAAATAAATAAATAAAATAAAATAAATTAAAAAAAAATAAAAATTAGTCTGGAAGCAAGGTAGAAATCAAGTTGGGAATCCCTGGCTGTACCCAAATCTCCTAGCAAAATAGGGTCGGGAAGACACATGGTTTTTTCCATGAGCTGATTGGGGCTCTAAGTACAAGTTGGTCTGTGCTACCCCAGATAGTTCATCTACTGACCTAACAAAGGTAGTGGTGCTTAGTGATCAGAAATTCAAAACCATTTATAGGAAAGGTCATCTATCCAAAACCAAGATACAATGTGGGTGCCCTTCTGTAGAGAACTATGACAAATACCAACCCATCAGAGGGAAGAGGGAAGTCAGGATCAGTAGCAGATAACCATGCCTCCTACCATCCTGAATGGCCCACCTTGAGTCAATTGTCCTGGACCAAGAATCAACCAGGCAAGTGAGACTATCTTTCAAAGTGGCTTAGAGTATGATATCAATCAGGGATTTCTTTCTGCAGGGCATTGTAGGCCACACCGAGGAGTTGGGGGTATTTTTATAAGAGCCTTGGGTAGCTACCGAAGACTTCTAAGCTGGAGCAAAAAAAAAAAAATTAAATTTGATTTAATAACAGCTGAGGCCCAACTCCTGTGGATCAAGGGAGCAGATAGGAAATTTTATTGTAAGCTAGGCAATTAATCTAGAGCAGTGCCTGTCCAACAGTACTTTCTGGGAAGATGTAAATGTTCTGTATTTGTTCTGTTCAGTATGGTGGCTACTAGCCCCATGTGGCTATTGAGTACTTGGAATGTGATTAGTGTGACTAAGGAATTGAATTTTAAATTTAAATTAATTTTAATTTAATTTTACTTAATTTAAATAACCACATGTAGTTAGTGAACTCTGTGATGGACAGCACAGGTCTGGTAGCCCAGCACATGTAGCTCCAGTCCCTTGGGAGTTCTTGGGATTCAATGAGAAGCTCTTAATATCTTTATAATAATGTCCCTCTATTTTTGATAAGCTAATCTGAATGAGTTTCTTTCTTTCTTTCTTTCTCTCTCTCTCTCTCTCTCTCTCTCTCTCTCTCTCTCATTTTGAGACAGAGTCTCATTCTGTCACCCAGGCTAGAATGCAATGGTATCATCATAGTTTACTGCAACCTCAAACTCCTGGGCTCAAGCAATCCTTCTGCCTCAGCCTCCGTTCCTAGCTCATTTTTCTATTTTTAGTAGAGATGGGGCAGACTGGTCTTGAATTCCTGAGCTCAAGCAATCCTCCCACCTCAGCCTACCAGAGTGCTAGAATTACAGGTGTGAGCCACCACACCCAACCTCTGAATTTCTGTCACTCCTCATACACATTCTTATTTTAGACATTTAGAATTCAAAAAGTACAAAGAACCTACAGAGGAAATGCCCGCTAAACTGGAGTACCGGAAGGTCCCACAATGCACCATGCCCCAGGTTTACCAGAGCAGTCCAGAGAACTTTCTGTGCTTGGGCCTTCAAATCAGAGACATAGAGCCTTGTTGACTCCAGCCATGGATCAAAAACCTTGCCCCCCTCAGTCGCTCTTCCTCAGGCAGCAGCCATGGCAGGCCAAGAGGACCCGGTGCCCCGGGAGATTCACCAGGACTGAGCGAACCGCGGGTACATCGAGGTCATCACCAGCAGCATCAAGAAGATCTCGGACTTTCTCAACTCGTTCGATTTGTTTTGTCGTTCAAGACTCGCAACGCTAAACGAGAAATTGACAGCCCTTGAACGGAGAATAGAGTACATCGAAGCACAGGTGACAAAAGGTGAGACACTCACCCAGAAGTATGCCATGCTGCTGCTGGGAAGTTGCTTGACAGAAAGCAGGCCCTGTGGGAAAGGCCCCAGCAACCTTCAGCTCCCTCCTTTCTCCTTAAAGAGCAACAGGGCTTATTCTCGTTTTTCTTTTTTCAAAAGTGTGGCCTTTGGGCTCTGCCATATGCCTCTGGGGGTGTGACGTGGCTTGTGGGGAGAAGTCCGGGACTCTTGGAAACATTAGGCATTTTACCTTTTCAGTAAAATTTTATAGGACAATTTGTCGATGTATTTGAGGTGTTCAGAGCCAAAAGCCTGGAACTCTTTGTGAAGGTTCTCACCACGTCTCTCCCTCTCTGTCTCTCAGGCTCCCCTCACACCTCTCATTGCTCTGCACTGAACCTATAAATAGTCTTTTTCTCCTCCCCACCTTTGGTGGGAGGCAGGGAGCAGTACTGGCCGAGGCGCTCATGGCCTGGCAGTATGGCTGCCAGAGAATGCCGTTGCTAACCCACCAGTTTCTCATCATTTGGGGGAGGTCAAGGCCAGGCCCCCACTTGGCTTGAAGGGACATTTTCAGAGTTTTCTTTCTGTCTCTTGGGGTGTCTGTGCCTCATGCTTCCCTAATAAACTCCTCGACTTCATCTGACTGCTGTGATTGTGGTGGGGAGATGAGCCATAGATGGGCTCACCTGTTCCACAGAAACGTGGTGTCTGGGATTACTATTCTAACGTAAAACTTCCAGATGTTGCTGTTTGATTTAAAGCCTGAGGGGCTTACCAGCCCAAGCCCCCTGTGTTTAGACTTTCAGCTGACTGATTCACCCTGGGAATCATTGAGTCATTGAACAGACATTTGCCAAGTGCTTATTAATACTATGTAGGCATGTTATCTTCCAACAAAACATACAGCAATAAACCAGGAAAAAAAAAAACAACCTTGCCCTCACCCCCAGCCCTTCTTCTTCTCTTCTCTTACCCCAGGAGCTGCACAAGACCCCGTCCAGTTTGTGCAGGAGCACCCCACAACTGCTCTCCTCAGAGGCAGAGGGTCTCTCTCCCAGCAGTGAGCTGACTCCTCCTCAGACTCCACCCCAGATATTAATAATTCCCTCTGTCTCTCAGGAACCACCCTCCAAATGGCTTATAGTGCATCTCATTTAAAGTGAGATACACTTGAAGTAGGGCAACTCATTTGAGACCAAAGTGCTAAGTCTTAGGGCAATTTCTGGCTTCAGTAAGCCGCTGCTCAGGGGCTGTATTGGGGAAAAGGGTGAGAAGTGCACGCGGCGACGTGGTGCCAGACTGGTCCCTGGAGACCAAGCGATGGGGGTGGGGGGGTGTTCGGCAGGGAAATGGAAGGACAAGCAGTTACTCTTCTGGCCACAAGGGGGAGCTCCAAAGGGACGTCTCTATCCTACCAGTCATACGTTCCCATTTTACGGAGTCTCAGAAATCCCACTCAGAGGGTCCCTCCACTGAGTAACATGGAGTGTTCGTTTTAGCCTCCACCCCAAACTATTTTGGAACACACCCCAGCAAGTCTCATTCTTCCAAGCAGAGAGGCAACAACACAGTTACTTAGCAAGAGGATGTCATGGACAAGGGAATAGATTTAGCAAATAAAAATATAGGATGCCCAATAAATCTAAATTTCACATAAACACAAATAATTTGGAATATCAGTATGTCCCAAATATTTAATGAGACCTACTTATATTTAAAAATTACTCATTGTTTATCTGAAATTCAATTTAACTGAGTATCCTGTATTTTAACTGGCACCTTTGTAAAGGGTTACACCTGTTTAACAGTTTTCCAAACTAAAATGTTTGCAGCTTTCTCTGTGATAGCCCCCATTCTGGTGTGCATAAGAGCAGACACCCAAGATTCTTTCCTGGGGAGACATATGGTCCTGCCCACAAGATCTCCCATAGAACATCCCTGACCAGAAGTGGAGTGACTCACGATTTCTGGGCATACTCTTTTCACAAAGAGATGCCGTGTTGTCCAGCTTAGCTGGCGTGCAGCGTGTGTGGCTCTGCCCTTGGGCTGTGAAACAATCCCCTGCTCCCTCTGGCATACCTTTTTGTTTTGTTTTGTTTTGTTTTTTGAGACAGTCTCCCTCTGTCACGGAGAGGGTGGGGCCATCAGCCTAGCTCACAGCAACCTCAAACTACTGGGCTCAAGCGATCCTCCTGCCTCAGCCTCCCGAGTAGCTGGGACTACTAGAATGGCCCATAACAACTGGCTAATTTTTCTATTTTCAGTAGAAACCGGGTCTCACTTTTGCTCAGGCTGGTCTCGAACTCCTGAGCTCAAGCGACTCTTTGCACTTCAGCCTCCCAGAGTGATAGGATTACAGGCGTGAGCCATTGTGCCTGGCCTGGGCTGCAAAAGCCTGGCTGAAAGAAACAATATTTTCAAGGATTATCTAAAGAATGCCTTTTTTTCTAGGTCAGTGATAATTAGCCTTTTTAGTGAGAAGGCAATTCAGAAAAAACTAACCCGTTCCCAAAAATTTTTTAAAGAAATGATCTCTTTTATCAGGAAATGTAATATCAACAACTTTGCTTAAGCATGTTTTTATTGTTTTCTCAAATGCTAAAGGGTTTCATTATTTTGATTAAACTTTCAGAAACTACATAACATGCATGCCCTGGTATATCTGATGGAATGGGACACCTTTTACCAATGTTTTTGGTCAAGGAAAGAATTTTTGGAGCTGGTTCATTTGGTTTTTCCTTAACTGACCCTGGAATCCATTTATTTGCAAAGTGTGTTTTGTCTCTTTTTATTCAGGTGGAACAGCCATATAGAAAAGTGCATAGAGTGTACTAATCTTAAGGGTACAGCTCAACGAATTTTGCATTACTATATACCTGTGTAACCACCACCTACATTAAGATCTAGAACTTTCTTGCACTCCAGCAAGTACCTCTGTGCTCCTTCCCAGTCAATGCCTCAACCAGAGGTAAGCATTATTCTGACTTCCACCACAGTGGATTACTTTTGCTTGTTCCTAATTTGCATACAATTCATTGAAAGTAATTTCTGTGAGATTCATTCATGTTGTTGCACAAGTCAGTAATTCATTGTTTTCCATTTTATGAATATGCCCCAATTTATCTGTCAATTTTCCTGTTACTGGATATTTATGTTCTGGATTTTGGCTCTCGTGAATAAAGGTGCTGTGAACATTATGGTCTGCACAAGTCCACACTCATTTCTCTTGGGTCTATACTTCGGAGTTTCGTTGCTGGATTATAATATAGGCACATGTTTGGCTTTATTGCCAAATAGTTTTTATGGCAATTTACAGTCCCTCTCCACCTCCCAGCAGTGAATGAGCATTTCAGTTGCTCAGCATCCTCACCAACATTTGGCGTTGTCAACCTTTTTAATTTAGCCATTCTGGTGGGTGTGTGGTGGTTTAAATTTCCATTTCTCAGCCAGGGGCGGTGGCTCACGCCTGTGATCCTAGCACTCTGGGAGGTTGAGGCGGGCGGATCATTTGAGCTCGGGAGTTTGAGACCAGCCTGAGCAAGAGCGAGACCCCCGTCTCTACTAAAAATAGAAAGAAATTAGCTAGATGACTAAAAATATATATAGGAAAAAATTAGCTGGGCACAGTGGCATGTGCCTGTGGTCCCAGCTACTCGGGAGGCTGAGGCAGAAGGATTGCTTGAGCCCAGGAGTTTGAGGTTGCTGTGAGCTAGGCTGATGCCACAATACATTTCCAGACTTTGTCTCGAAAATAATTAAATATGTAGTTTGAGGATGCCTGATCTAAAAAAAAGAAAAGAAATATATATGAAAAAGTAAAGATTTAATGTTTTTTATATAATTAAATAAATAAATAAATTTGCACGTCTCTCAGGTGAGTTGCACAACTTTTCATGTGTATATTGGCAATTTGGGTAGCTTCTTTCTGTGAAGTACCTGCTAAAGCTGGTGGTAGCTCAGCTCCAAAGATGGCCCCTGATGAACTGTGCTTCCTAGTGTCCATGCCCTCTATATAAGAGTTTCCTCCTTCACCGCATGTGGGTGGGGCTGTGACTTGCTTTACCCTCTAGAATGCTGGCCAAGTAATGCTGTGCCAGTTCCAGGCCTGAGCCGTAAGAAGGCATGGCAGCTTCTGCTTTTGAGCTCTAGCGGGTGTGAGCCACCATGAAGAAGTCCAGATACACTGCTGGAGAGACCATGTAGAGTGACTTTGTGGAGAGGAGAGACCTTGAATTGCCAGATGTTTCCAGCTTCACCATCAGATGCATCTAATTGAAGCCACATGAGAGACACCAAGAAAGACCAGCAGAAGAACCACTCAGTGGATCCCAGTCATACCACACACCATGAGGGACAATAAAATGGATTTTAAGTCATTAGGTTTTTTGTTGTTTCTTTTTTTAATAGGGACAGGGTCTTGCTATGTTGCCCTGGCTGGAGTGCAGTGGCTATTCACAGGTGTGATCATAATGTACTATAGCTTTGAACTCTGGGGCTCAAGAGATCCTCCTGCCTCAACCTCCTAAGTAGCTGAGACATGCCCACTGCACCCACCTTAAGTCGCTAGGTTTGGGGATGGTTTATTACACCACAATAGATAATAGAAACAAAATCTTTTGTTGTTTTTTAAAAACTGAGTTGTCTTAGTGCTTCTTAATTAAGGAGTCCATAAAGGAGGAGTTTTTTCATTGCAAATAAGACACAAAGTCACATCAATCCACTTACTTTCAAATACAGGATTTATTTATTTATTTTATTTATTTTGAGACACTGTCTTGCTCTGTTGCCCAGACTGGAATGCAGTGATGAAATTACAGCTCACTGCAACCTCCAACTCCTGGGCTCAAGCAATCCCTGGCTCAGTCTTCCAAACTGCTGGGAATACAGGCATGAGCCACCACACCCAACCAAATACAGGATTTCATCAGCTACTTTGCATTTTTTGGTGGCAGCTATAGCTTGTGTTAACTTTTGTTCATAAACACCAGTACTCATTCTCACAAATGTACATTAGCTATTCTAGAAACAATCCTTCTGTCCCCCCAACCCCCACCATAATGCCCACATTGAACCAATATATATCTACAGCCAGCAGGCCAAAAAGTACCAGAGCAGGATTAGACCAATGTTGGCCTCACAGAAGCCTCAATTTCCCCATCTGAATTGAGGGATGTCCTACAATTTGATCTCAAGATGCGTTGGGAAGATAGGAAACATAGTAGTCACCACTTCTCTGGCTGTGGTAGACAGAATAATGGTTCCCCCCAAATGTCCATGTCATAATCCCCAGAACCTGTAAATATTTTACCTTATATGGCAAAAGGGACTTTGCAGATGCGATAAGAGTATGGGCCTTGAGACAAATGGATTATCCAGGTGGACCTAATCTAATCACATGACTCCCTAAAATCAGAGAACTTTTCCTGGTTCAGAGAGAAAGATGTAAAGACAGAAGAAGGGTCCAGGGGAAGCAATGCTGCTGGCTCTGAAAATGGGGGGAAGGGACCAGGAGCCAAGGAGTACAAGTGGCTTCTGGGAGCTGGAAAAGGCAAAAATGGATTCTCCCAGAGCCTCCAGGAAGGCCCATTGACACCCTGATGTTAGCCCAGAGAGACCCACATCAGACTTCTACTCCTCAAAATTGTAGGATAATAAATTTGTGTTGTTTTAAGCCACTAAGTGTAGGGTAATTTGTAACAGCAGCAATAAAGAGTGTAGGGTATTTCATTACAATAGAAAACTAATTCACTAGCTGATCTATAATTTCCCCTTCCACTAATTAGACCAGCAGAGAACTATGTATGTATTATCTCTCTTAACCAGACACACTCCCCCCATATAATTATTTTATTGACTATGGTGTGATTATGGTGATGTAGGCTAACATTACACACAGCACTATAAAAATCAACTTTAGGAAACACTTAGCTGTTTTTCCCATAATGATGTTGTTAAGGAAGATTTCATTCTATCAGAGTGTCCTCTCCATGAAAACCCAAGAAGAAATTTATTTTCTGTCCTGTACTTGGAAAAGAAAGACTCCTGCTTGGAATTTCCCTTTTTGCATTGGCTGCTAGGAAGCTTAAAACAGTGATTCTCAAGCAAGGGCAGCTTAGAATGGCAGAACTATCAGAATCACATGGGCAGCTTTTGCAAACAGCACCTTGCTCCCCCAAGAAAGTCTAATCTGTCTCCCTAGAGGAAAGTGTTCCCCTTCCTCCCACAAAATCCATTGCTTTGGGGAGCCACTGTGCTATTTAGAGGAGTAAGTCCCGTTTCTCAGGTCTGTTGGGTTGGGGAAAGGGTTAAGAATAGACTCTTAACCTTTGGAGCAGCAGTTCTCAAATATGGTCTGGGAAGTCCAGAAGAAGTCTCCAAAACCCTTTCAAGGGATGCCCAAAATCAAAACTATTTTCATAATAATGTTAAGTGTACAGCATAGGTTTCCAGAGGCTACATGACACATCATATCACAACAGGCTGGATGAAGGAGCAGACAGGGGAATCTAGCTATATTTTATTAATTCAGACATTAAGGATGTTTGTAAAAATGTAAAACAATGCCATTCTACTCACTTTTTTCTTTAGAAAATATACTTTTCATAAAAATATGCTATTTACATTAACATAATTGATTTATTGTTTTTTATTTTTATTTTTTTTATTTTTTTATTTTTTTTGAGACAGAGTCTCGCTTTGTTGTCCAGGCTAGAGTGAGTGCCGTGGCATCAGCCTAGCTCACAGCAACCTCAAACTCCTGGGCTCGAGCGATCCTTCTGCCTCAGCCTCCCGAGTAGCTGGGACTACAGGCATGCGCCACCATCGCCGGCTAATTTTTTTATATATATATATATCAGTTGCCAATTAATTTCTTCTATTTATAGTAGAGATGGGTCTCGCTCTTGCTCAGGCTGGTTTTGAACTCCTGACCTTGAGCAATCCGCCCGCCTCGGCTCCCAGAGAGCTAGGATTACAGGCGTGAGCCACTGCGCCCGGCCTATTGTTTTTTATTGAATTAATAAATACTGTAAGTATTTCTCAGTTTTAATTTCAAATAATTTGTGTGTGTGTGTGTATCTCTTGCAGGTTTTCTTTTATTTTTTTATTTTTTTTTATTTCGGCATATTATGGGGGTCAAATAATTGTTGATAGTTATAACACACATAAGCAAAAGCTCTTTGTATTCCTCAATAAATTTTAAGAGTATAAGAGGGTCCTGGACTGAAATATTTATTAACCACTGAACTGGAACAATCAATGTATGTAATTGTAAGCTCTCTGTGGCATGCATGTTTTGCATTCACCACACACACTCTTTTTTCCTACCTTGGTTTGCCCATTGCCTTCTTTTTCTGAGTTTTTGTGGAATGACTAGTTCTTTATCCTTTAAGGAGCAAATACCTATATAAGCAGCAAGTTAAATGAATTCTTGAAACCCCAGAATTGTTAACAAGTCTGAACTTGTTACCACTAAGTTTATCTTCACCATTTGCAGTGGACTGGATATAACTAGCAAGATTAGCAGTTGAATCCAGTCAATTACTGGGTCTCTGTACTTGCATTTCCTCTCTTCCTGCTCACCTCTCATTTTCCCTCACTCTTGCCACCCTGGGATTGCACCAATAAAGCACAAGCATGTAGGCTTTGCCTAGGCCTCTGTTTTCTAAGGAAACTAGACTACAAACAGAGTAATATTATTATTAGCTTATATTATTGGAAAGAAAACAGATATGCCCAGCCAGGAACGGTGGCTCACGCCTGTAATCCTAGCACTCTGGGAGGCTGAGGTGGGAGGATCGCTCAAGGTCAGGAGTTCGAGACCAGCCTGAGCAAGAGCGAGACCCGGTCTCTACTAAAAATAGAAAGAAATTAATTGGCCAACTAAAAATATATAGAAAAAAATAGCCAGGCATGGTGGTGCATGCCTGTAGTCCCAGCTACTCGGGAGGCTGAGGCAAAAGGATCGCTTGAGCCCAGGAGGGGGTTGAGCCCAGTTTGAGCTTGAGCCCAGTTTGAGATTGCTGTGAGCTAGGCTGACACCACAGCACTCTAGCCCGGGCAACAGAGTGAGACTCTGTCCCAAAAAAAAAGAAAAGAAAAGAAAACAGATATGCCCGTGTGGATATCCTTTGAGTGACTCTCCATTTCCACTCTCCACCCTTCTCCGTCCTGCTTCGCCCCCCATGGAGTAACCGTGTGGACCAATCACGGACTCCCTCTCTGGCTTTGGGTAGGTGTTGGACCACGTGAAGAGCTGGCAGGTGCTCAGAGGATGGCAGGAGGGTGGGTGGGGATTTTTATTTCCCAGCTCTCTCTGCTAGGCCACAGGTTGATCAAGGTTACATTTCTCTACTGAAGGCCATGTCTCCCACTGGCTGGCTCTGTTTGTCCTGCAGCTGCAGCTCCTCTGGGATCCAGTAACTGTCCGTTCCCTAGGCCAACAGCTAGTAAGGGCTCTCCATTACTGCTAGGCCCAGGGTGCTTCACCAACCCATGTCAGTTTCCTTAACCCTGCCTACACCTCCATAAATAGCTCCTTCATTAAACTCTTCTCAACTCCTCTTTGAGGAGCCATAGGTTTCTAAAATGGGCTCTTATTGATACACATTGAGAGGCTGAGTGACTTTCCCAAGGGCACACAAAAAGCAAGTGACAACACACCTGAGAGTACTCACTCTAACACAGAGAAGGGTAGAATCTTTTTCTGGCCTCGCCAGCCTGCCCAGCCCCCTCCCAGAATCCCTATGCCCTGCCCAACCTGCCAGAATCTGTGATCCTTTTGTTGGGATGGGATTAAATTCCCTAGGGCTTCTGTCCCGGACCTGGCCAGCAACTCCAGTAACCAGAGCTGTGTGAGAAGAAAAGGCCAAGCCATTGGGGCAGCCACACCCCAAACAGAGGTGAGGTCTCAGGTGAGTCATACCAACGAGGGGCCACCTCCCCTGTCCCAAGAGTCACTTCTCACCCCAGCCCTGCCTCACCAAGGACCCACAACAGTGGCCTCCCAGCCCCTGGCTGTCCTCTTCTTTGGCCTTTGCACACATGGTGCTCCACTCCTCCCTCCCCCACTCGACAGGTGTCCTGGAGCTAGGACACCTGCCCCCACCCCCACCCTGGCCTCTAGAGATGTGAGATGAGCACAGGACTCTGGGTGGGGCCCTCAGGCTCCCTACCTCCCCCTTCCAGCCCCAGATCCTCTCAGATTCCCGGAGATGGGCTCCAGCCAGGGAGGGTGGGGCTGCTCCTGGGACCATCAGGAGTCACGGGGCTGCCTAGACAGTGACAGAGCTGTGGCGGGGAGCAGACCTTCACCCACCTCTGTGCCTTCAGCTGACTCTAATGTGCCATGTCCCAGCACCTGCTCCTCTCACTTGTGATCCTCGGTAACCTCAGGGCACGGGGGACAGGGGATGGCTGCAAGGGGCCTGGATCCTAGCATCTGGGGAGCTGGAGAACAGGATTCCTGGGCTCTGCATGGGGAGTGGGTTGCCAGACAGAGGGAAGTGAGGCAGGAGAGGGAGGGGAAGCAGTGTTTCAAAGGCTGGTGACAGGAGGCCTGGGTGCCATGGGAGGTGGAGTAGCTGGAAAACTGGGAGTGGGAGTCTGGGATGAGGAGTGCGCCTGGGAGGGCATATAGTAAGTGCAGCTCTCCAGTCTTTTCCTGCCTTCCTCTGTCTTCCCAGCCATCAGTCCCATCCCAGGAGCCTTCCAGGACTCAGGTAAGGCAGCTGGAAGGGGGGGGGGAGTCATGTGCAGAGGCAGAAAAGAGAGGGGAGGTAGCAATGGTGCTGGCAGGGGGACTGAAGGGACAGGGAATTGGGAAGGCGGGAGGTGGGGCTGGGCTGGGTAGGGCAGGGTCTGGAAGTCACCAGTATCTTCCTCTCTTTCCCCTGTGGCATCCAGCTCTCAGTCCTACCCAAGAAGAACCTGAAGATTTGGGTAAGGAAGAGGCCTGGGCATCCTCCGATCTTAAAGGAAAGTTAAGGATGGTTAGGCCACGAGGGAGGTGGAAAAGACCAGAAACTTAGAAGTGCCTAGGTCTTTGTTCTTTGTTCAGAAGGACAAACTGAAGCGGGGTGCGGGACAAGGCTTTGTCCTGAGTTACCTGGGCCTCCGAAGTGGGAGATCTCAGGCGGACTCTGACCTCCAGGGCTCCCCATTGCAGACTGCGGGCGCCCTGAGCCCTCTGCCCGCATCGTGGGGGGGTCAGATGCGCAGCCGGGTACCTGGCCTTGGCAGGTGAGCCTGCATCAAGGGGGAGGCCACATCTGCGGGGGCTCCCTCATCGCCCCCTCCTGGGTCCTTTCCGCTGCTCACTGTTTTGTGAGGTGAGTATTTGCGCTCGTCCAGCCCCTCTCCTTCCAAGGCCAACCCCGCCCCTGAAGTTCGACCCCTCCCCCACCCCCTACGGTCCTCAAGGCTAACTTGGAGCTGAGCTGCCCAGGCTACCCCCCTCTCTGCCCCGCAAGCCGGGTGTTCCGCTAGGTATCAGGGTCGTGGGTCGTCCCACCACTCTGCTCAATGTCAAGTCTGAATCCCACCTATCTTTCGGATGCCCCCAGTCACCAACTCCAAATCGGATTCGCCAGTCCCCTTTTAGGAGTCTCAGCCCCAAATCTGGATCTGCCTCCGCCCCTCCTGGGCTCCTGCTGACCCCACCTCCTCTTCTGGCTCTGAGTCCTCCCCCCGCAGGGTCTGCCCCTCCATAACGTCAACCTAAACTGTCCCGCCTCGGCCTCTGCGCAGGAACGGGACCTTGGAGCCCGCGGCCGAGTGGTCGGCGGTGCTGGGCGTGCACTCCCAGGACGGGCCCCTGGACGGCGCGCACGTCCGCGCAGTGGCCGCCATCCTGGTGCCGGACAACTACAGCACGGTGGAGCTGGGCGCCGACTTGGCCCTGCTGCGCCTGGCCGAGCCCGCCAGGCTGGGCCCCGCAGTGCGGCCCGTGTGCCTGCCCCGCGCCTCGCACCGCTTCGCGCACGGCACCGCCTGCTGGGCCACAGGCTGGGGGGACGTCCAGGAGGCGGGTGAGCGGGCGCCGCAGCCCTGGCGGTGGGAGGTCAGAGCGCGGAGCCCACCTAGCGCTCCTGGGGGACGCACCCCTGGGCGGGCGGGTCCCTGGGGCGGAGCCTCGGGGGCGGGGTTTGCTAGACCGCGGGTCGCGGGGCGGTCTGCAGCTGGCCTCCTACACCAGGGTTCTCAAACTGAGACTTCTGAGTCACCCGCCCCACACTCCATTCTTTCCAGTTTATTCTCTTCTGAATTTAGGATCCGGCTAGGGTTCCCAGCCCAGCTGTGCTTTGTCACCCAAAGCGCTTCACCCAGTACATTTCCTCCTCTGTAAAACGAGGAAAATTGTAGTGCCTGTTTCATGGGGTTGTTGGGTGGATCAAATGAGAAAATCCCTTTAAAGTTTATAGCACAATGTCTAGCACAGCGGTAACTAATGCGTTGTGGGTGTTCTTACCTTAGGGAATCCATGTTAAAGCACTAAAGCACTTTGGCATACAGTAGATGGTCAGCAAGTGTCAGCTTGCACTTCCCCTCCCCTCCCCCTCCCATCCTATATCCACCCCCCATCTCTATCCCCCACCTCCTGCCCTCTCCTTGCTCGCCCTCACTCATCCAGCCATCCTTTTGCTGAAGATATTTCTTGAGCACCTTCTATGTGCCAGGCACTGTGCGATACACCAGTGAATGTAAAAAGCCAGAAGCCCTGCCTACTCAGAGCTTACACTCTGGTGGGCAGACAACACATGCAATACATAGACACACACCCTGTTTGAAGGGGTGGGGCAACGTAGACCTCTTTCCATTCTCTGCCATCCCCATTATCTCGTGCCACTTTTCCATGCTAGCCTTGCCCCCGCAAACATTCCACATCTGCTGTGGGCAGACCTGTGTGGGGCTTTGGGAAGGTGCTGCAGGAGGAGATGCCACAACCTCCATCGGGGCAGGAAGAGTCCCCGTGAGCACCTAGGAAGTCTGTGTGGACAGGGCCAGGCCATCCTGACAATGGGCAGGGCGGGAGGCTTCTGGGGAGTCTTTGTGAAGAGAGGATGTATGGCAGGAACGTGGGGCGGGATGGAGGCCACCCTGGGGACACAGGTGGGGCATGTTAGATGGAGAAGGGCCAGGATGCCAGGCTGGAGTGAAAGGGGCAGAGGCCACAGAGGCTGCAAAAGCAGCTGAGGCTGCACCACAAAGACCACAAGGTGGGAATAGGACCAGAGTACCCCGCCAGCTCTGGGGGTTCCCAGGAAAATCCCCACACCTCCCTGGTTGAGCCCCAAATACAGCTGCAGCCATCACCTAACTTCTTAGGACTCTGAATGGGCAGGGAAGGAGCTCTGTCTGTGCTTGTCCCCACCCCTTTCTGCATCCTGAGACTTTCATTTCTACCAAAAGCAGGTTCTCCTCAAGATAGGGCTGAGGCCTCAGGTTTAGACAGCAGAATCCATTTCTTGTTCTTGGTAAGACCAGAGCTGAGCTTTAGAGACTTCCTCTAGTAGCAGCAAGTGAAGAGTGGATTGGGGACCAGACCAGTCAGGAGGCTGGGTCAGTCGTCCAGGCCCAAGATTATGCTGCCTGTACTAGGATAATGACAGGCAGAATGCCAAGAAGTCACAAAAGAGAGGATTTCACGATCTGGGAGCTGATTGGGGAAGGAGAGTTGAGAGAAGGGTCAGGGATGACACCCAGATTCCATATGTGGCAACTTGGGAGAGGACCCCCTTGAGTCTGTATGGCATCTTTGCGAAAGAATGCCTTCTGGGACGAACACAACTCCATATCAGGGCTCAGAGCTTAATGATTTTATTTAATTTTTTTGAGACAGAGTCTTGTTTTGTTGCCCAGGCTAGAGTGAGTGCTGTGGCATCAGCCTAGCTCACAGCAACCTCAAACTCCTGGGCTCAAGCCATCCTGCTTGCCTCAGCCTCCCCAGTAGCTGGGACTACAGGCATGCGCCACCATGCCCGGCTAATTTTTTCTATATATATTAGTTGACCAATTAATTTCTTTTTATTTATAGTAGAGACAGGGTCTTGCTCTTGCTCAGGCTGGTTTCGGACTCCTGACCTCGAGCAATCCACCTGCCTCAGCCTCCCAGAGAGCTAGGATTACAGACGTGAGCCACCACGCCTGGCCGAGAACTTAATGATTTTAGCCCCTATGTACATCCTTTGTTGTGGGGACCTTTTTGCAGTGCACAACCTGCACAACTATACATGGAAGCTCTTATTGGGTGCTTGATGGGGCCATTCCTGAAATAAGGATGTAGGAAGAAGAACAGACAGGAGCCTGGGGAGATGTGGTTAACGTGGTGGGCTGAGGTGCCATGGGGCATCTAGTTGGAGATGTCCAGGAGGCAGCTGGAGGTGGCAAAGCTAAGCCCTGGGAACTGGGGGCTCCATGCCTACCTCACAGTATCTGCTCTCTGGTTCTGCCCCCAGACCCTCTGCCTCTCCCCTGGGTGCTACAGGAAGTGGAGCTAAGGCTGCTAGGCGAGGCCGCCTGCCAGTGTCTCTACAGCCAGCCTGGTCCCTTCAACCTCACTCTCCAGCTATTGCCAGGGATGCTGTGTGCTGGCTACCCGGAGGGCCGCAGGGACACCTGCCAGGTGAGGGGAGGCCCCTGCACCTGCCTGGCAGGGCCAGAGTGCTAACTGCTGTGAGCAATGGATAAATATCATCTCTCTGAGCCTCACCCGCCAAAAGAGGGCACAGTTGCGGAGGCATGGGGTAAATGTGAAGGTGATAAATGTATAGAAACTGGGGCTCCATTTGTGGGCGCTGCTATTTCTGCCATAAAGTGCTCTGCAGTGAGCTCGCCTGGTCAGAAGCCCGGCACGCTACTTATTAGTGGTGTGACCTTTGCCTGGTAATTAGCCTTCCTGTGCCCAGACTTTCCCACCTGGAAGACGGAGATAATAGTATTACCAACCTGATGGTGTTGTAATGATTAACAGTATCTTGTCCCTAATAAGAGCTAAATAAGTATTGGCTATTATTAGTATAATTATCCCACATCCCAGCCCACAGCACAGCACCTGTTACTTAGTAGGTGCTCCATAAATAATTATTTAAAAAATGAATTAATTACTAATCCTTCACAGAAGGGATAACCTGCTAAAGGCCAAAACATCATATATTTTAAATGTTTTGCCCAGAAATCTTCCTCAAATGACACTTTTTTTTTTTTTTTTTTTTGAGACAGAGTCTCACACTGTTGCCCGGGCTAGAGTGCCATGGCATCAGCCTAGCTCACAGCAACCTCAAACTCCTGGGCTCAAGCCATCCTGCTGCCTCAGCCTCCCAAGTAGCTGGGACTACAGGCATGCGCCACCATGCCCAGCTACCAACAGATATTTTTGAGGGCACCCAAGCATGCAGGGTGGTGGTGGGGATTCAAGCTAGATGGTCTTCAGTGTCACTCCCAATTCTGAGGTTACAGGACCCCTGGACATAACTCCCTGTCTTCTTGAACAGAATTGCAAACAATTCAAATTCTTATAGGCCAGCGCTCCCCAATAGAACTTCCTGCAATGATAGAAATGTTTTATATCTGTGCAATCCAGTATGGTAGCTGCTAGCCGCGGTGGCTATTGAACATTTGAAATGTGGGTAGTGGGACCGAGGAAATAAAATTGTAATTTTATTTAAATTTAATTAACTAATTAAATTTAATAAATTTACACTTAAATAGCCACATGGGGCTAGTGGCTACCATATTGGACAGCACAGCTCTAGATGATTCTGAGTTTTCTGAGCCTTTGTGATCCTTGTCGGGTTACAGAGATGCCTGGCCTGTGTCACAAAGATGCCTTAAAGACAACATCCCAACATTAAATGGCCCCAATACCATTGTTTTAGTGTCTGTTCATTGTGGTTCTTCCTCTTTACTTGCTTTCAAACTGTCCCTTCTTGCTGTTTTTTGTTTTTGTTTTTGTTTTTGAGACAGAGTCTCACTCTGTTGCCCCAGCTAGAGTGCCGTGGCATCAGCCTAGCTCTCAGCAACTTCAAACTTCTGGGCTCAAGCGATCATACTGCCTCAGCCTCCTGAGTAGCTGGGACTACAGGCATGCGCCACCATGCCCGGCTGAATTTTTCTATATATTTTTAGTTGGCCCATTAATTTCTTTCTAGTTTTAGTAGAGATGGGGGTCTCGCTCTTGCTCAGGCTGGTTTTGAACTCCTGACTTTGAGTGATTGGCCCGCCTCAGCCTCCCAGAGTGCTAGGATTACAGGCGTGAGCCACCGAGTCCGGCCTCTTGCTGCTTTTAGTTGGCCTATTTTTACCAGCCTTTGCCTCCTCAACGCCAGCATCTCTGATTTATTTTTTAAACAATTGGGTGAACTTAGAAATCAAAGACAGGGTTTATTTGAACTATTTATTGAACAAGAACCATGTGGCTGTGAACAGCACCTGCAGGGTTCTCTTGCATGGCCTTTAGTGCATGAGCTGGTGCTCCCGGCTGTGGATGCGCCCGGCCTGTCTGCTTCACAAGGCTTTCTTCTGTTTGGAGTCGCAGGGAACACAGAGGACAAGGCACAGCCAAGGGAGGTTTCTAGCAGAAGGTGGCTGTATATGGGGCCAAAGGGAGGTGTAGGACCTTTTCCAGGAAGCAGTGTAGGCTGGTGGGCCCCTGGGATGATCTCCTAACAGTCATTGTCATTAGGGTGACTCCGGTGGGCCCCTGGTCTGCAAGGAAGGCGGCCGCTGGTTCCAGGCAGGAATCACCAGCTTTGGCTTTGGCTGTGGACGTAGGAACCGCCCTGGAGTCTTCACTGCTGTAGCTTCCTATGAGGCATGGATACAGGAACAGGTGATGGGTTCAGAGCCTGGCCCTGCCTTTCCCATCCAGCCCCAGGAGCCCCAGTCAGGTCCCCGGGAGCCCACGGAGGAGAACTGCACCATTGCTCTGCCAGGTGAGTGGGTAGGACCCCTAGATGTGAAAGGGACATGGGAGTTGGGGTGGAGACTGCTGGATGAGGGGGGTTCAGGAGGCTACCTGACCCAGGCCTCTCATCCCTCAGAGTGTGGGAAGGCCTCCCGGCCAGGGGCCTGGCCCTGGGAGGCCCAGGTGATGGTGCCGGGATCCAGACCGTGCCATGGGGCGCTGGTGTCTGAAAGCTGGGTCTTGGCACCTGCCAGCTGCTTTCCGGAGTGAGTGAGAATCCACACCTCAGGCAGATTCTTGCCCCTTCCCACATCGGCCTGAGAAACCACCATCTACCTGGCCCAGCCCTATCCCTGGGCAGATGGGGATGGGAGGCACCTCAGTCTGGAATGCGGGCTCCCATTGAGACATGTAGGATCCAGCACAAAAAGAGGGGTCCCAGTCTGGCAGGGGTGGGAGATGGGCGTTAAGTTCGATCCAGGAAGCAAGGGTCTAAGTGCACTGTTTGAACGGGCGTGGGGTGGGGATCCGGCCGTGGAAGCAGGATCTTAGCCTGGAGACAGAGGATAAGCCAGGAGTGCGAGGTTTCCAGCCGGGTGTGCGGGATCTGGCCCACGTCCCCCGTCTCCCCATCTGGCAGCCTCATCAGCTCCGGCCGCCCGCCCCGCGACCTCGAGGCCTGGCGCGTGAGGCTGCCCTCGCGCCCGCGCGCGGAGCGGGTGGCGCGCCTCGTACCGCACGAGAACGCCTCGTGGGAAGACGCCTCTGACCTGGCGCTACTGCAGCTGCGCGCGCCTGTGAACCTGAGCGCGGCCCCGCGGCCCGTGTGCCTACCGCACCCGGAACACTACTTCCTGCCCGGGAGCCGCTGCCGCCTGGCTCGCTGGGGCCGCGGGGGTGAGCGGGGCGCCGGGCCCAGGGTGGCGCTGGGCGGATCGGGGACTGCCTCGGCCGCAGCGCGGGCCTCCGCCCTTTCCCCCCCAAGAACCCGCGCCTGGCCCCAGCGCGCTGCTGGAGGCGGAGCTGTTGAGCGGCTGGTGGTGTCACTGCCTGTATGGCCACCAGGGGGCGCCAGTGCCGCTGCCGGGAGACCCGCCGCTCGCTCTCTGCCCCGCCTACCAGGAGGAGGAGGAGGCGGGCCGCTGCTGGGTGAGCGGCAGGGGCGGGACGTGCAGAAGGCGGGGCTGAGTAGGACCCGGGGGAGGTGGAGGGAGTTTGGGGGCGGGGCCTGGGGAACTGGGCGTGGCGGAGCGCTCTGGGCGCGGAGACATGGTGGAGGCGGGGCCAGAAGGAGCTGTGGGCGGAGCCTGGCCCCGGAGGACTTTTTGTGGATAGGGTTGAGCCGGGGCTCTGAGCAGGTTGTGGGGTTTCTCTCCATCCCTAGATTTAATCCTAAAGTATGGGCTGAATTCTTACACAAATTAGTATCTCTCTCATGCATACACACACACGTAGAGGCACATATACACACATACACATACTTTTTTGCTGCAGAATGACTCACGTTGGAGCCTTCTGTGCCGGGAAGAAGGGACCTGGTTCCTGGCTGGAATCAGAGACTTCTCCAGTGACTGTCTACGTCCCCGAGCCTTCTTCCCTCTGCAGACCCATGGCCCATGGATCAGCCATGTGACTCAAGGAGCCTACCTGGAAGACCAGCTAGCCTGGGACTGGGGCCTTGAAGGGGAGGAGACTGAGGCACAGACTTGTCCCACACACACAGAGCATGGAGGTGAGCAGGGTGCCTTTAGGGCTTAGGGGCTCTTGGGGATACATAGATCCATGGCAAGGGCTTCAAGGGTCATCTGTGGGGCCACAACTGAAGTGGCCCCCTCCTCTCCCTAGCCTGTGGCCTGCGGCCAGAGGCCGCTCCGTTGGGGGTCCTGTGGCCCTGGCTGGCAGAGGTGCATGTGGCTGGTGATCGAGTCTGCACTGGGATCCTTGTGGCCCCAGGCTGGGTCCTGGCTGCCACTCACTGTGTCCTCAGGTGGGTCTCACTCATTTCCTAGGCAAGAGGCTGGAGAGCAAAATGGGGAAATGAACCAAAGGGCTCTTACAATAGTGGATATTCTCCCTTTAGGGCTCTTTCAGGACAGGGAAACCACTGTAGGAGGTTTTGAGACAGAAGAGAGATTTGGCAGGAGCAGTAATGAGTTAATGGCATGACCCTAGAGAGTTATTCTACCCTTTCCCCTGGGCTGGGGAGGACTTTACAAGCAATGGGAAGAGGAAGAGGTGACATTGGGCCTTGTTTCAACAGGCTGGGCTCTACGACAGTGCCTTACATTGAAGTGTATCTGGGCCGGGCAGGGGCCAGCCCCCTCCCACAGGGCCACCAGGTATCCCGGTTGGTCATCAGCATCCGCCTGCCCCGGCACCTGGGACTTAGGCCCCCCCTGGCTCTCCTGGAGCTGAGCTCCCGGGTGGAGCCCTCCCCATCAGCCCTGCCCATCTGCCTCCACCCAGGGGGTATCCCTCCGGGGGCCAGCTGCTGGGTGCTGGGCTGGAAGGACTCCCAGGACCGAGGTGAGAGCCCTGGGTCACGGGAGCGAGGAGTAACTGGAGGCCAGAACCCTGGAACAATGCTCTTTCCTCTCTCTAGTCCCTGTGGCTGCTGCTGTCTCCATCTTGACATCTCGACTCTGTCACTGTCTCTATCAGAGCATTCTGCCCCCGGATACCCTATGTGTCCTGTATGCAGAGGGGCAGGAGGACAGGTGTGAGGTACAGGCATCTCAGGCATTGGGATCCAGGAAGGGAGGAGGCCACGCTGGGCAGCTGGACCCTAGAGAAAGCAGGGTTGGAATTCCTGAGTGTTGGGCCCCAGATGGGAAGCAGTACTTGCTGGCTGGGCCTTGGAGAGTGACCAGCCCGGATGCTTAAGGTTGGAGACAAGGAGTGCTTTGTGGCCCAACGCTAGGGGAAAGTGCAGGGGACCAGGAAGAAGGATAACAGACCCATTTAACCTTGGCTCTGACTCTGCAGGTGACCTCAGCACCTCCCCTCTTGTGCCAGACTGAGGGAGGCTCCTGGGTCCTCATGGGCATGGCTATTCGAGGCAGCCGGGAGATTTTTGCTGCTGTTGGCCCTGAAGAGGCCTGGATCTCCCAAACAGTGGGGGAGGCCCACTTCCTGCCACCTAGTGGCTCCCCCTACTGGCCCTCTGAAGGCAACAATCTCTGCCCACCAGACCTGGCTAGGGCCTCAGGCTCCCCTCGGGCTGTTCTGTTCCTGCTGCTACTGACTCCCCTGATCCAGAGCTGAGGGGCCTGGGTCCTAGTGCCACTTCCTTCTCTGCCCTCTACTTCCCGCCCAATGGGGCTGGAATGTGGCCCAACCAGCTGGCGCCCTTGACAGAACCTCCAGCGGGCCCCACCCACCAAGACTGCAGCAGCTTCTGATAATTGGGCTATTTTGGACCCAGGAATCCTTGGGGGTGGTGGGAGGAGCAGACAATAAAGGTGTAAACGCAGACACATGTGTGGCTTTGTGGTATTGCTGGGAGCAGGCAGAACGCTGAGTGCCTGGGAGGCGAAGGGGGAAGCCCAGAGGGTAGGGCCCCTCCCTCTTCCGTGAGTCAGGCCTTGGGCTCTCAGGAAATGTGTCCCTGATAATGTGGCTGTTCCCTCATTCCTGCCCCAGGGCAGGGAGGCTGGGTGGCCAGCTGGTTGTGTGTCACCTCCCCAGTGGAATCAATGTCCCCAGCACCTGGTGGACACCTCAGCTCTAACTCAGACCCCGCTGTTCCCCCAACCCCTCCAGGGGGAAAGACTGAGGGTGAGAGGCAGAGCTGCCCCGCAAGTACACACCCTGATGAATGATGCCTCAAAATGTCGCCAGCATGCACACATGACACTTCTGCATCCTGCCCAGTGCCCCCAGGTCTTGGGCTCGGTGTGTACATCCCACTGGCTCACCCGTGCTTACCCCTGCACTCCCTGTGTTCATTCAGGCCATATTCCCTGCTAACTGCTAAGTCATGACACAATTGGGTTCTGATATATAAGCCCACAAAGTGCTCCCAATCTAGTGGGAAACACATGTGGACAGCCCTGTCTGGGCATCAGGAAAAGATCACAGAGGAAGTGATGTTTGAGCAGAGAAAAAGGGAAAATAAGAATGTGGGGAAGAGGGGTGTTGGGGTGAAAGCCAGCTGCTGAGGGTGGCAGAGTGTCTCTGGGGCTGGGGACAATCCCTGGGCTGAGTAGGCAGAGGGCGGGGGAGGTGACCCGGAGGAAAGCTGGAAGTTATCCCTGGGAGGTTGATCCCATCCCAAATAGAATATCCCCCAGAAGCACCACAGGGATGTACATACCCAGTCTGTCACCCATATGCCATCACCTACAAACCCTGAATACAACCCAGCCTCTGCCTGAACCCACCCATAGGGCCCAGTGTCCTGCCGCCCCTCCTCCCCAGCTTAGAGCCCTTCCCAAGTCAGCCCCTCCTAGAGTTAGTTCTCTGACCTCCAGCCTGGGCCCTGAAGACGCAGCTCAGAGGTCCAGTCACCTAGTCTTCTGGAAAGTAGGTGAGGGTCTGTTTTTCCCGAAGCTTGGGCTCCACAGGTATTTGAAATTGCCACAGATTGCCACGCCCTGCAGAGGGTGCACCTCACCCCCACCCCAGTCACATCTCTGCCACCTGTGCCCTTCACTTTAGAATGTTGCCCCTGGGCCACAGCTCCCCCATCTTTGGCTCCCTGACACCTTTTCCTAACCCCCGTGGGTCTCAGTTCTTCCGGCCCCTCCGTGAGGACCCCTCCATGGTGCCTGCCTTGGTCAAGCTGCTGTTTGCTAGCACCAGAGCCCCCATTCTTGTGCATCACAGTTCCTGGTTGGAAATTATTCTATAATTATTTGTTATTATTTGATTCAAGTCGATCACCCCCCTACCTCACCATGAGCTCAGGGAGATCAGGGCTAGTGTGTGTTTTGTCCCCTGCACCAGGAACATCAGGAACTCAGTAAATATCTGTGGGATGATTGGCCAGACATGATTGCCACCTGCCCATGCAGGCTTCACAGAAAGGGCTTGGAATGACCCTCACCTGGCCTCCAAAACTGGGCCTAAGGAGGGAGGGAGGGAGGAGTGGCTGTGGCCCCAAGATATCAAAGGCTGGGCTAGGCCCTGGGGGGCATAACTGGTCTGAGAGACCTGAAAGACTTGGGACTGAGGACAGTAAGGTCACAATCCAGGGAGGCTGGCTATCAGATTTTCCAGTCTGGCCTCGGATTGCTCTCTGGCTGTTCAACTCCTCCACTCCACCCAACACCGGCCTGGGGTCTGAAAGGACTCAGGACTTTGGTGGCAAGCTGAGCGGACCGAGCTGAGCAAGAGGGCGGGGCCAGGGGAGGGGCCAGCAGGTAGATGGCTCCAGGAGCCGCCACTCCAGGAAGGTCTCTACGGGACCAGGTCGTGCCCGACCGGAGGCACGTTTACACTGCTAGCTTCCGAGACTTCAAGCGTCTCCTCCAGCTCCCCCGCCTCCCCGTGGCTGCTCCCTGCCTTAGAAGCCAGGCTTGGACACCTACTTCCCCTTCCCAGCCAGATTCTGGGATCCCTTTCCTTGGAGCCGGCACACCTGGATCCTTCCTTCGAAACCAGCGCTAGGATCCTTTCCCTTGTGTGCCCTGTGTGTCTCCCCCGGGGGGGCCTCGTCCTGGGCCATGGCCCAGAGCGCGGGCCTGGGGCCTGGGCAGCTGGAGGCTGTGATCATTCTGCTCTGTCTTGGATTATTCCGGTCATGGACAGGTAAGTCTGTGCAGGGCAGGGGGGCTGGGGGTAACACACTGGAGGGACCAGGCATAATCCTTTTCTGGGACACATCCTCATCCCGGGCTCAAGAATCCCTTCCGCCTTGGCCCTCCAAGAGTAGGGGCAAGCGCTAAAGGCTCAGCGAACTCGGGTCTTCTGTGCTTACCCCTCCCTCTTTCTCTCTCTCTCTCTCCAGGAGCTGATGGGGCCGAAGGTGAGGCTTGCCTGGGAAATGGGGGAGGGGAAAGGGGAGGGGACATGGATTCAAATTCCCCGGCGTGTTCAACTAGTGCCTGGCCCTCCGCTGGGCTGTCCCACCCACCCACATTCTTTTGAGATTCCCTGTCGCTCTGTGGGGGGGATTGTAGCCCTCACTTTGTGAGTAAGGAAGCTGGGTGCGGAGAAGTAGTGACCTGCCCAAGGGCACACAGCCGGTGAGTGGCGTAGCTGGGATTTAAAACCACCTCCGACTCACAAAATGAGGCACTTGAGATGGTTTTGAGGTAAATAAACCAAGAGCCTCCTTTCTTCGAAGGCACACGACCCGGCTCTGAGTCAGGCAGGTTTTCAAGCCGGCTTCACCACTTGCCGGCTGTGTGGCTTTGGCCAGGTCCCATCACTTGCCTAAGCCTTGGTCTCCTCACGTCTCAAATGCAGTTGATAGTGTCTATCTCCTGGGGCTGTAGTGAGGGTTCTAGGAGATAAAGGAAGTGAAAACCCCTTTGGGGCCTGGCACTGCTCAAACACTCACTAAATAGTAGCTATTGTCATGATTATGAGGGAGAGGAGTCTGGCTGGCAGTTTCTCTGCTCCTAGGAAGGTGACTTTGTGAAGGGCAGTTGGGCTCCACTCCATAGCGGCCTTGGTGGGGGTGGGGGTGGGCAGTCTGGGGGAAACTAGACATTCCCATCATGGGAGCCCAGTTCTTCTGTTCTTTTGTACAACGCACATCCATGACTCCATGGGCACTAGGGATGGGAATCTGCCCCTAGGGAACCCCCAGGTTGGTGTGGTTGAAACACAGTTGTAGACACCAGAACAGTTGGGAGACTGGGTAGTGTCGGGGAAGTGCGGGGACCCTGGGAGCTCAGAGGCAATGCCCAGCTCAGCCAGCAGGCTCCTGCAGGCTGCGGAGAGCCTGCGATTTGAACAGAGTCCCCACAGGCAAAGAGAAGTTTGCCAAGCAGAGGAAGGATGGGGGATGGTGTTCCTGGCGATAAGCAAAGGCCCAGAGAGGAGCAAGAGTGTGGCCTGCTGTATGTAACAGGAAGTGCCCAGAGGGATGGCTGGATAGATGGTAGTGCCATGGATGGCCGGGAATATCGTAAGGGCAACATGGAGCCGTGGAAGAGTTTAAGCAGGGCTGTGCCCTGGTCAGTTGTGGTTTGTGAAGATCTTCAGACTGCCCACACCTGGCGAGCTGAGGGGTGGAGACAGGGGAGGCCAATTTCTGTGAACCCACTTCCCAAGCTCTAAATCAGATTGCCTGGATATGTGGATGCAGCGGGCTAAGGACCTGACTCCCCTCCTTTCCTCCCTGGGCAGCCCTTTGTGGTGTGGTCCCCCAAGCACGCATCGCAGGTGGCAGCAGCGCAACCCCTGGTCAGTGGCCTTGGCAGGTCAGCATCACCTATGATGGCAGCCACGTGTGTGGTGGTTCTCTCGTGTCTGAGCAGTGGGTGCTGTCGGCTGCTCACTGCTTCCCCAGGTACCAGTTGGGTTGATGGCACGGGGTGGAAGTCAAAAGTGGGCTGAAGGTCAAAGATCATGGGTCAATCCAGGTCAGAGGTTGGGGTTCCTGGGTTGGGTCTAAGGGTATCAGTAAAATCTGTAAAGATCAGTTAGGAGTGAAGGTGAGGGGTCAGAGGTTACAGGATAAAACTAGGGTGCAATTTGAGGCCTACAAGGGGCTGATCAGAGTCAAGGGTTGGATGCTATAAGGCAACAGGGATCAGGGAACAAAGAGAAGTCCCCTGGGTCCCAGCCTCTGCCCTTCTGCCCGCAGAGACCACCGCAAGGAAGACTACGAGGTAAAGCTGGGTGCCCACTGCCTGGATATCTACTCCAAGGACGCCAATGTCAGCACCGTGGCAGAGGTCATCGTCCACCCTAGCTACCGTGAGGAGGGCTCTGAGGGTGACATCGCACTCCTCCGTCTTGGCAGTTCTGTCACCTTCTCCCGCTATATCCGGCCCATCTGCCTCCCTGCAGCCAACGTCTCCTTCCCTAATGGCCTTCATTGTACTGTCACTGGATGGGGCCACACGGCCCCCTCAGGTGAGGTGGGGCGCTAGATGCCAAGCGGCAGGGAGGGGAAGCCCTGCTTGGGGTCGGAGGCCCTGGGTCAGCATCTCCTCCCCCACAGCCAGCCTCCCGAACCCCAGGCCACTGCAGCAGCTCGAGGTGCCACTGATCAGCCGCGAGACCTGTAACTGCCTGTACAACATCAACGCCAACCCCGAGGAGCCCCACTTTATCCAGCAGGACATGGTGTGTGCGGGCTACGTGGAGGGTGGCAAGGATGCCTGCCAGGTAAGTGCAGGGATGGGGCAGGGGTGCACCCGTGGCAGGGTGGGGCAGACGAGACAGTGCCTCTTGAGAGATGAGGGTAGGCATGGATGACTGACTGGAGGCCTGGGGCCTGCTCCTGACAGCTGTTGTGTGACTTTTCTCCTCAGGGGGACTCTGGGGGCCCACTCTCCTGCCCTGTGGAGGGCGTCTGGTACCTGGCAGGCATTGTGAGCTGGGGTGATGCCTGTGGGGCCCCCAACAGGCCTGGTGTGTACACTTTGACCTCCAGCTATGCCTCCTGGATCCAATACCATGCGAAAGAACTCCAGCCTCATGCGGTGCCTCAAATCCAGGAGTCCCAGCCTGATGGCGACCTCTGCAATGAGTCTCTGACCTTCAGCTCTGCCCAGGCCCGGGGCTTGCTGGGGCCCATCCTTCTGCTGCCTCTGGTCTTGGCCCTGGGCCTCTTCTGCCCATAGCACAAGCACTGAGCTACTCACCCCGGAAGCTGCCCCTACTGCCAAGACTGATACGTCATACCCAAGGACATGTGGCTGTTCTCAGGAAGGGAGCTGGCCCCTCCCTGATACCCTCTGCACTTGGGCCCTGGTGAGCCACTCCTTCCTTCCTGGACTCTGTGGGAGGCTAGGGCACCATCCTGACCTTTAAGCCTATTCCTCTGGGTTTACTGTTGTGACTGTAACCCACAGTCCAAGTTTTACTGCCTGTGGTGCTGGCCAGAACCTATGGCCACCTCCACCTGCTGTCCACAAGCCTACTAGGTAGGCTCCTATAGAGTGCCCAAGGACCTCTGGCTATAGAAATGAGCCCTGGGTCCCACCTATTTCCAGAAGACTGGACACCTGCCCAGCTGACTGTTGCTCCAGTGCCCCACCCACCCTGCCTAACTAGGCCTGCACTTTGCCCTCTCTTCCTTGTTTCTGGGCTCAGGCTGCCTTTGGGCAACTTCTTTTCAAGGACAAGAATGGCCTTAGTCTTGCCTCATTGGCTGCTAAGCCCCCCTAAGCCCTGACTCTCAGAATCCAGAGGACTGAGCCCCCGCTGGAACCGGGCTGGGGCCTGGATCTGGAGTGAGTGACAGAAGGAACAAGAAGGAGTAAAATGTCTTGAGCACAACAGGTGCATACGTGTCAAGTGAGATGAAGACCGTCAGCTCTTGGCCTCTTCCTCCCACCTCCAAAGTCTAGAGCCACTAGAATTTACTTTATTAAAAAAAAATGATGAAACAGGTCTGTACATATTTACAGGCTGGGGGTAAGAGGCATGGGTCCGGCAGCAGGGGCACAGGCTGCTCACTTCTTGGAGAGCTTGACTTGCTTGTGTTTAGGGGGTGCCCACTTGAGGCAGACAGAGTCCACTGTGGGGAGAAGAGGCAGGAGAGGAGGGGCTGGGCCTGGGGCCAGGCCTACTCACACCTGGCTGCTCTGCTCTGGGCCTAGGCCAGGTTTCACCTCCTCCAGATGAGAACAAAAGGGCAGACTGAGTAGGGGGGAGGGGGGAAGTAGGGAAGCCCAGGAATGAGTGGCCTGCCCCAGGCTCTATCCTGGGAGCTGGTCCAACTGGTTTGGGATCATGTGACAGCAAAAAGGAGGTCTTGGCTCTCAGCAGGCTTTATACCTATCTACCCTCCCACCTACACACACGTGCAGCAGCCCCCCTACCCACCTGTGATGGGTGGTTTCTTATACTGGGCACTTTTAAGGTGTTCCTCTACCAGCTTGGGTGTGACACAGATCACATGCTGGCCTTTCCAGTACTTGACCATGTTGAGGGACTGCAGGGTACTGATGATGTCATTCTGGGTGATACTGGTCATCTGGCTGCAGAAAGGGATTAAAGCAGATGCTGGAGATAATTCTCTTGTAGGGTCTGTTTAGGACAGCGAAAGGGGCCAAGGAGACAAGATCATGGCCAATCTAAGGAAAGCCCTTTCCTTGAGGGTTCCAGGATGCCTCCCATACAAGGTCTTTGATGGACAGCTTGCCCAGGACATGGATAGGGATGAGGGCCCTCACCTAAGGTCCTTGATGGACAGCGTGCCCCGGAAGTCTCGCAGGATCTCCAGCAGAACCCATGACCAATAGCTGCGGTAGCTGAGTTTGCCTAGGTCAGACAGCGGCTTCTCTGGGGAGCCCACTGTGCTCTCTAGCTTGGAGAGCTCGTAACCTGGTAGTGGTAGAAAGAGGATCTCAGGACCCAGCCCTCCCTGGTACCCCTGCCACCACAGGTGTCCCCTTCCCAGATAGGCCAGGAGCCACTCACTGAAAGCAATGAGAAACTTTCCGTAGCCACGGCGCTGGTAGGGGGGCAGGGTGAGAATGCAGGCCACGTTGTTTCCATCTGGAGACTCCTTCTCCTATGGGGGGTGGCTGCTCAGGACCTCTGGGGAGGCTCAGCCCCTATTCCAGCACCCTCCCTACCCTCCCCCGACCTGAGCTTCTGACCCAGCACCTTGGAAAAGTAGCCGACAATGTGGGCCCCTTGCCTGTCCACCTCAGTCAAAATGTAAAAGACGAAGGGCTCCACGTCAAAGTACAACGTCTTGTGGTCCAGGAAGAGCTTGGCCAGCAGACACAGGTTCTGACAGTAAATCTGAGGGGCAAAGGAGGTGGGAACAGGCTCAGGGAGCAAATACAACTCCTACAACTCCCACACTCAGCCTGGGCATGAGCTGCCACCCTGCTCTGCAAGTGCCAGGCCAGTAGGAAGAGGGCTCCTCACCAGCCCAGTGACATTTAGGACAGGAAGAAGTCCATTTCTCATGGGCAAGGAAGCAGAAAATCAGAGAGCCTGTAGCACTCTGGGAGGTAATGGCAGAGCAGGACTGGTCATGGCTACCACTGCTGAGTGCTAAATATGAGCCAGATGCTTTCCACAAATCATGTGTTCAATCTTCACAGACACTGACTCTTAAGTTTCAGCCCAGGAAACTGAGGCTCTGAGGAGATAGGTGGCTTGCCCAAGGTCCCAAGGCTGGTGAGTGCCAGGCAGGAATTTTAATTGGTATATGAGTCCTGTGTTGTTCAAAGCAGTGTCCCCCAGCACCTAGCACAAGGCAAAGCACGAAGCTGAGCACTCGGTAAAAGTTTGTCTGCTGGCTCAGCCACACTCCTCTGCTGGGCCTCACCAGTCTCCCAGCTGCAGACACAGAGACCCACCCAGACCAGCACCAGGAGACAATGAAACCCTGAGTTTGGCTTCATGACAGATTAAGGGGCTTTGTGGTTTCTGACACCCTTTGACATCCACTCTCCACGGAGCACTGGCAGTTCTGTTTTAGGAGGAAACTGAAGCTCTGGGAGAGGAAGTGCTTGCCTGAGGCCTCAGGCTGACAGAGGGCAGAGGCTGGGAAACACCCCACGTCTCCAGCAGGAGCCCTTTCTGCCATTCCACCTGTTCATGCTCAGGAAGGCCAGCAGCAGGTAAGGGCTGGGCTCAGAGTGTTCAAGTACAAGCCTAACTGAGCCCCAACAGGTCACCAACAATAACAAAGGCCCATGTTTACCCAGCACCTACTAGATGCCAGGCTAAGCACTTGACATTTGCTATCTCATTTGTTCCACTAACTACCTGATTAGGTAAATATTATGACTCTGTCATATAGACAAGGAAACAGGAACGAACAACATTAAGTAATTTGTCTGTGGTCAGCAGGGAAGTGACAGGGTAACTGGAAGCCAGGAGCCAGGAGGCCTGCCCTCTTTGTCTTATATGATATTGCCCTTCTGCAGAGGGACACTTGGTGAGACCTTCCCAGACCAAGCAAAGGTCAAGTTCTCAATCCTGGCAAAGCAGGCCCTAAAGGCCCCACCCTGTCTCACTGAAGTCATTCTGCCAGGAACAAGGAACTCAGTCCTCCTAGCCATAGAGCTCTCAGGCAGGAAATCTCAAACAAAGCAGTCCCCTCCCAGGCAAAAACAAACACCTTTCCTAGAAAAGGAAGGAGAAAGCTCTTTTAAGAGCAGCCCTAGGCAAGAAAATATCCACTCTGGGTTCCAGAACTACTCAAGTTTGAACTGACCCCATCAGAAGAAAAGTTCTCAGGGACAGAATGGAAACTGGCCTGAGGCTGATACCACAGAGTGATGGGTTTACCATGTACTGACCACAGGCCAAGTGCCAGGCTAAGCAAGACCTCATGGGCCTTTTTCTCATAGAGGCTCACCCTAAGGCTGGCCTTACCCTTCTAGGAGGTACCCAATGCTTCCCCCACCCCTGTCCACAGTCCCTTGGCCACCAGCTCACCTTGTGGTCCTTGCCATCCACTTCATACACAGAGATGTTGCTCTTACGATAAATCTCCTTCCCAGGGGGCTGCCGCCACTGACACTGGCCCTGGGGGACGGTGTAGGGGAACAGAGGCTTGAGACCCAGAGGTTCTCTGCTTGATGCCTCCCCACCCCACCATGGTGTGGCTTAGAGCAAGTCTCTGCCTCTGTTTCCCCTACTCAACATTTCAACCTATATTGAGTAATCTCCCAGCAATCTTAGGAGAGCGATCCTATTTTACCAAGGTACAGAGAGGCTAAGCAACTTGCTCAATTATCACACAGCAAGATGGTTTCAGGTCTACATCAGCCTGGCCCTAGAAGGCACTTGTCCATGACACTGGCTTTCCTAAACCGCATATATCTGCCTCTGATTACACATTTTGGGAAACAGCCCACTGTGCTAGTAAGGAGAGCGCTCCATTCCCAGCAGCCCCTGTATACCAATTCTTCCCATCTGTCTACACTTTAAGGTCCCATTGCTCACGGGCTCTGTTTGCTTCTTCTTTTGTACCAAGGAGCCTGGCACTGGGGTGGCCTGGGTAAACATGTGGTAAAGGGCAAGGGACCTAAGGAGGTGGTAAGGACAGAGATTATTGTCCCTATTCCAAAGAAGAGGAAACTGAGGTCTGGAGAGGAGCAGCAAGTTGGCCAAGGTCACCCTGCCAGCAATGACAAAGCCAGGCCTGGAATCCAGGTCTCTTGATCCTTGGGCAGCTCTTCCTTGTACTCAGCTCCTCTGGACCTGTCTCTCTTCCCTGGTGCTGCTGGCTCAGTTGCCCTCAGCCTTGACGCCTGCCTTTCTCACCAGGCCCAGCCCAGCCTCACCAAATGGAAGCGGTAGCTCTTCTCATATTTCATGTACTTGAGGCAGTACTCGCACAGCCAGAGCTTGGGCTGTTTCCCGTAGTCTTCAGGGAATGGTGAGAAGTACCAGGCATCAATTTCGTAGTTTCCGATGTGGATCTTGTCCACATACTTCACCTTGGTGATCTGCAGGTAGGGTGGGAGTGGGGACAGTGCAAGGTTGAGTGGGGAGAAGGAAGGAAGGGGGAGGGAGCACCTCCAGTCAAGCCCCTGATCCTGCTTACCGCCTCATGTTCCTTCTCCAAGGCTGCTGTTGTGGGATCCATCTCTGCATAAGTCTGGCAAAGAGATGTGAACAGGGGTGAATAGAAGTGATCAGGCCATCTGTCCCCTGTCCCCAAACCCACAATGCTTCCCTGCTGTATTCCAGACCTAATCCCCTAAATGACAATAACCACATAAATAGCTAACTTCTTTTATTTGCTTCTGAAGCTGGCTGATCCAAGCTCCTCTCCCATCTGCCCACCCATCCATATATCCCAGACATCCTGATGCCCAAGTTTGGACCTTTTGCCAGCTGAACAGGGCTAGAATCAGGTTCCAGTCCTTGGGTTGATAAGAGCTTCAGCTGTACAATGGGGCAATCCAGCTCTGCCAAAGTTGTTGTGAGACTCAGATGAAATAATGGATCTTGTCTTCCAGCCCCATTAACTCCCCAATGTACCTGGGTATTTCCTGAGCACCAGACCCAGGGAGCTGCTACCTGCCCAGGAGACTGTTCCCAGAGGTCCCTCCCACAGGAACATGAGACTCTAGATGTCCAGAACATCTCAGCATTCCTCCCGGAAAACCTCTGTTCCTCCTCCTGGGTACCCCATCTCACTGGGAACATCATCCTTGGTCTAACTGCCCAAGATCAATAGCTGGGCCTGCCCATAAGACTCCTCCCTCTCTCTCAGCTTGGCATGCAATCAGTGGCCACGTCCCAATACAGTAGATGTCAACTCTACTTCCTTAACATCTCTGGAATCGGTCCCTCTCTGGAATTCTCTCACTCCAAATAGTCACTGCCCCATCTCAGGTCTGGACAATTGACTTGGACTCCTTAGATTCCCTGCTTCCAGTCTCGGCCCCCTCAAATTCACTCTGCTATCAACACCCCTTTTTTCCTGGCCTTTGTGGCTTTGTACAAGCAGTTCCTGCCACCTTGAGAATGCCCTTCCTTCTCTTACTACCACCAGAAAATGCTTACTCAACCTGGCACAGAGCACGAGTCAGGTGAGTCCATGACAGAACATGGCTTTGTGAGCTATCATGTGTCTTTGTTTTTGTTGTGCTCTTTCTTGTCCTTCAAGGCCCAACATTCTTCCCAGCCCCTCCAGGAGGCCTATCTAGATTCTTCCTGTCCAGAAAACACGCCCTCCTTCCCAAGTCAGGAGACAAGTGGTCAACAGTGTAATACCTGGTTTCCCCTATTTTCCAAGTCCTTAGAAAGCTGAGTCTAAAGGTCACGTCACACTCACAGTACATCCTGTTCCTAGGCCAGACTCTGTGGGAGGAACCAGGTACGGCCTGACATGGAGGAGGGACCCAAGGCCTATGACCTACACCAGAGTGGACTGTGGCCTTGCCCTGTGCCTGAGAAGGGAGAAGCAGCCAGGATTTAACCTAGAACCCTGCTCCACAAAGCACTTTGCCTATGTGGCCTCATTTCACCCTTTCAGTAACCCATAGATAGAGTATTCTTATTTCGATTTTACACACTAGTAAACAATAAGGAGAGGTGAGGTCACTTGCCCTTGGGGAGCAGTGAGCTGCCGTTTATTTCGAGTGCCATGCACTCCACAGACATTATTTCATTTAGTCCTCACAATTAGCCTCTTAAACAAGAGTGCTCATCATCCCCATTGTACAAAAGAGGAAACTGAGGCATGAAGAGATGAAGTCACTTGCCCGAGGTCACATAACTGGTACTCAGCAGGGTTAGGCATGGGCCCCTGGTCTGTCCAATTCCGAGCCTAACTACTGCAAAGACAAGGGAAGAAAAGATTTTCCTCCTAACACAATTCATTAAAACATACTTCCCGGCTCTCACAAAATACAATCCTCTTCTGCAAATGCATTAAAGAACTACAAAAACACTACTTTTCTTCAATGTTACAATTTATTTAGAATTAAACATTAGTCTCTGAAGAAATTTGCTGATTGTTAACTGGCTGATTGTTTTATTATCTATTCTTTGATTTTATCACCAGTGGCCATTATCATCCACCCTGCTGACTGCCAGCTTAGAGGTCCATCTTTGTTCAGTGCAAACTAATCAGGGAACTAATAGAATCTTAGACTTGTGTTGTCCAATACAGTAGCTACTTATCACAGCCATTTAAATTAATTACAATTTAAAAATTTTTAATTCTTAGTCACACTGAACACATTTCAAGTGCTCAATAGCCATACGTGGTCAGTAGCTACGGTACTGGATGGAATAGCTATAGAACATTTCCATTATTACAGGAAGTTCAAGTGGACAGTGCTGCCTTAGATCCAGAATGGTTTTTCTAGTTTAGGGTATTTCAAAAATTTTTAATCATACCCACAGTAGGAATTGCAGTTGGCACTGTAAACCAGTTGACGTGTTTGTGTACATACATACATGTATTTGTATGTGAAACAAAAGCTTCTCAAAATAATACTTATCCTTAATAAAGTACAATGCACTCCGATATTTTCTATCTTATTCTATTTCTTTCTTCCACTTTTAAAATTTAAAAGCTGGTCACACCCACTGAATAGATGAGCTCAGAAGAATGAATGCAATGTTTGAAACAAACGAATGCCTGAATACTTTGAGACCTTGATAAACCATATTCTAGTTTGCACTCCCTGTTTTATATAACCAAGAAGCTGAGGCTCAGAGTGGGAGGAAAGTAAACCCTCAGGGGCAGCCCAGTTTGGCTAAAAGCATGCAGGTTTTGGAGATAAATAGTCTGAGTTTCTAGAATGTATAAAAATCATGGTTAAAAATATGTTCAACTATTATACATCAATTTTTTAAAAAACTGGAAAACAAAAACAAAGCCAAAATCATAGTTAAAGGCTCAAGCCCTGAAGTAGGACAATCGGTTGGTAGATCTAATTCCTGACTCGGTTTCTAAACCTATCTGTACCTCCTCTGTACACTGAGCACAGTATCGCCTGCCTCACAGGGTTGTTGTGGAACGTAAGTGAGATCACGTATTAAAACACTTAACCTAATACTTTGGCTCACAGGCCAATAAATGTTTGGCATTGTTATTCTAATTCCAGCCCACACTTTTACTAGCTGTGTGACATTAGGTGTGTTACTTAACCTCCCTGAGCTTGCTTCCTCATCTACCAAAAGAAATAATTATTCCTGCGCTGCTCAATTGTTAGGCAGCATTTGATGAACTTATATATATGTACAGTACTTAGCATGGTGCTTGGCAATAGCAAGTGCCCAGTATCTTTCAGTCTCTTCCTTCCCCTTATACTTCAAGTCATTTTGCCAATGGATACAGCCAATAGGAGACAAAAGAAGCTACCAGTGCAAGAGGCCCGAGTTCCAGTCCCAGCTGTGTCATCTGCTCACTATGAGAATATCCAAGCCCTTGCCCTCTCTGAGCCTTAGTTTTCTTACCTGTGAAAAGTAAATGAGAGGAGGTAGGTAAAGTCCCTGACACACTATGGGAACTTAAAAATAGAATTTGCTGTGGTTTTGGCAGTGGGGCCCAAGGGAGATGGCGGAGGCAGCTGGGCCCTGGGGAAAGGAAAGGATGCGGACCTTCTGCACGTGGTTGATCTCATCATGCTTGCGTTTTTGGTTCCGAGTGATCTTGCGCTCAGGCTGCTCAGCCAGCTCGCTCAGGTACTTCTCTGAATTCTTCTGCACAGCATCCTTCACTGTCTTGGTCAGCGCCAGTCGGTTCTTGTCTACCCACTCGTCCAGTCGCCGGTTAACTGTGAGGATGGGCCATGAGAGTACTACTCTGCCACCCCTCTCCCCCCAACCCAGGCCCAAATGCACCAAGCCACTCACAGCCCACATAGTGTACGTAGAACTCCTCTCGGCCCTCCTGGTCATTCACTCTAGACTGGATGACTTCAGCAGAATCTATGAAGGAAAAAGGACAGGATCATCAGAAAGGAAGGTAAGGCTGGAATTACAGGAATCCTGCACACTGAGGAGCAGTTTCCAGATTCCAGGGCCACACCTAAGCTAATGTCACCTGTTCACATCTGCCATTCTACTCAATCACTGCCACAACCTTCTGAGGTGGACCATGTTGGGGCTGTTATAACTGTTTTATGGCTAAGAAAAAAGTGAGGCTTACTCAGGGTCATAGATTTAAAAAGTGGTAAGACCTAATACTTAGCTGAGTTTAACTTTGGCTCCAAATTCAATGCCTATTTTTCTACATACACTCAGTCATTCATATGTTCAGAGGTCAGGAGAGCTAGCTCTGAATTAAGACAGCTTGAGTTTATATATAACTCTAGCCCCCCACTTCCTAGCTATATGTAATTGAGCAAGTTATTTTGACTTTCTGAGCCTCAGTCCCTTCTTCTGTGAAATAATAGTGCCTATCTCAGAGAGTGAGTTAATGCCTCCAAAATTTTTAGCACATTGCCTGACAATTAGTAGATCATTCAATAAATAAGGCAACCATTACGTGTCTGGCCCTATGCAATGTTGTTGCTAAGTACAGAGGACGCAGCAATGAATCACAAGAAGTCTTGCCCTCCAGAAGTTCCCAGTATGATAGAAGGCACAGACAGAAAATTACAACATAATGTTACAAAAACTATGGCTGAGGTATGAAAAAAAATGTTGCAGGAGGCCGGGCGCAGTGGCTCACGCCTGTAATCCTAGCACTCTGGGAGGCCGAGGCGGGCGGATTGCTCAAGGTCAGGAGTTCAAAACCAGCCTGAGCGAGACCCCATCTCTACCATAAAAATAGAAAGAAATTAATTGGCCAACTAATATATATAATATAAAAATCAGCCGGGCATGGTAGCTCGTGCCTGTAGTCCCAGCTACTTGGGAGGCTGAGGCAGGAGGATCGCTTGAGCCCAGGGGTTTGAGGTTGCTGTGAGCTAGGCTGACGCCATGGCACTCACTCTAGCCTAGGCAAGAAAGCGAGACTCTGAAAAAAAAAAAAAAAAAAAAAGTTGCAGGAACATACATAAAGGAACAAATCACTTTGCCTGAAGGGGGTCAAGAATGGCATCACAGAGGATATGAAGTTAAAAGGATGAGTAGGAGCTAGACAGGTGATCAAGGAGAAAGGGAAAAGAAAACACATTTCCAGCAGAGGGCACAGGTAGTTAAAAATGCACATGGTCTTTATGGTGTTAAGTCTGCTCTGGTCTGGCAATAGCCTTTGCTAAGGGGGGGCTAGAAACTAGAACTGTCACAAAAATGAATACCATTCCAAGGACTTTGGGGTTTATTCTGAAGATGAGGGAAGGCAATGCAATGTAAAGAAAGGGGAAACGTGTGTTCTGGAAGGTCCTCTCTGCTGGTGGCCACAGGGGACAAATGGAAGAGGAAGACGCAAAAAAGACCAGTTAGGAGGCAGGGTTACCAAGAAGATGGAATGAAGCCTAAGACTGGACAAGGAAGTGGAATGGGAACTCTGTAAACGTTTAGAAGAATTCGAGGATCGTCTGACTGATGGGTTGACAGGCGGGGCCTGGCATAACCCGAGGTTAATAGCCTTGCTTATTAACTCGGCAGGTCTACAGCGCCCGCAACTCCGCGTTCTTTCCTCGAGCCCCGCCCCCCATGGCTCCCAGTCCCCAGCTCTCGGTCTCGTGGAGAACCTGCCCACCCGGCCCCGCCCCCTGGCCTTGGGCCCCGCCCTCACGCCAGGTGCTGTCCGGCCGCCGGCACAGGTACGTTTCTCCGATCTCCACTGTGACTTCCGGTTCGCCGCGCGCCGGGGTTGGCGGAGAGACGCGGCCCGGGGACGGGGCGGTCCCTTCGCCCGCCGCATTCTCCCCGGGCCCGGGCTCGCCCTCCCCCGCGACCCCTGTAGTCGCCGCCGCAACCGCCGCCGCAGATCCCTGTGCCGCCATCGCGGTGGTGGAAGTGACGTGGAAATCTGGCGCCACACAGCTCTTTCAGATCCGGGTCAGCAGCGCGGGGGTCGAGAGCCTCGGTCTGGGGTGGGGTCTGTGACGTAGCAGGAGCTTATTGGTTTGTGCGGCCGTCTCCCAGAAGGCCTGGAGTCCCTGGTTTTCTGTTTGGAAATGTGGCTGCACCCTGGAGTTGAAGAGAGGAGACACGTGGTGACTGAGCTCTAGTTTGTAAAGGCCCTGATGCCCGAGGAAGCCTAGAGGTGCTTGTTTTCAGGGGCTCCGCCCACACTTGAACGGAGCGCGGCCAGGGCGGCCTCCCTGGTCGCCTGACGTCAGGATTATGAGCCTGGAATTAACACCCACCCCTGCGCTGCTCGCTCGCGCCAGTCTAACACCGGTCACCCCAGCTTTGAAGGCTGAAGTAACCGCTTCCCTTATTCAGGGAAAGATACAGTAGGGGTGGGGAAAGCAGAACGGGTGTGTCCAGGGGCAGCCAATAAATCATCTTCACAAAATAAAGACTTTCTAAAGGAAAGAGCAGGCCCCAAAACCACACATCTCCTGCACAGAAAACTAGCCAAAGGCAGTGGATACAATGAAGAGCGTCTTGACAGGGAGTGAGGAATCTTGAGTTCTGACCCTCCTCTGGGTAAGGTGTACAAGTTTGTGGCTTCTCCGAGAGCAAAGTTTAAATCATAAATATCTCTATATATGGTTAAACCACATACAGTTGGCCCTCCGTATCCGCGGGTTCCACATTTGCAGATTTAACCAACCGCAAAATGAGAATACAGTATTCTCTGGATGTAGAACCCACGGATACAAAGGGCTGGTTTTTCATATCTGCTGTTCTGCAGGGCCGATTGCAAGACCTGAGTTATCTGCGGAAGGCCCTGAAACCAATACTCCCTCAGTTACCAAGGGACAATTGTATATCTATATAAATGACTAAGCCATGTATAACTATATCAACCATATAACTATATAAAGGTTAAACTGTCTTATCTATATACAAGTGTATTGCAAAGTGTGAGACAGGGTAGGTACTCAATCTTGTTTGATTTATGTTAATAATTTGGTTACTGGGCTTAGAAACAATTCTAAGAGGAGGTGGAATGCTCAGTGCCTGAAGATGGGGCTCAGAGGTTACAGATAAAGAAATATCTGAGAGTTAGGAATCCATGGGAGGCAGTGGGAAGTGCTGTAAATTTGGCTTTGAGGAATTGAAGGAGGTTGGGGGGGAGAGGGGGTGGACAGTGAATGTCAGGTGTCTGGCAACATAAGAAATAAAAGTCAAACAAAAAAAATTAAAATTCTAATTCTAATGCCTTCTCCCACTCCAACCACCCTATCTTCAAGATTGTTATTGCACCTACCCAGGGTGCTGGTGCCTCAATTTTTTTTTTTTTTTTTTTTTGAGACAGAGTCTGGCTTTGTTGCCCAGGCTAGAGTGCTGTGGCATCAGCATAGCTCACAGCAACCTCAAACTCCTGGGCTCAAGTGATCCTCTTGCCTCAGCCTCCGGAGTAGCTGGGACTACAGGCAATCACCACCACACGAGGCTAGTTTTTTCTATCTTTAGTAGAGATGGGGTCTTTTTTTTTGAGACAGAGTCTCACTCTGTTGCCCGGGGCTAGAGTGCCGTGGCATCAGTCTAGCTCACCACAACCTCCCACTCCTGGGCTCAAGCAATCCTTCTGCCTCAGCTTCCCAAGTTACTGGGACTACAGGCATGTGCCACCATGCCCGGCTAATTTTTTCTATATATTTTTAGTTGGCCAATTAATTTCTTTCTATTTTTAGTAGAGACAGGGTCTCACTCAGGCTGGTTTTGAACTCCTGACCTTGAGCGATCCACCTGCCTTGGCCTCCCAGAGTGCTAGGATTACAGGTGTGAGCCACTGTGCCAGCCGAGATGGGTCTTGGTCTTGCTCAAGCAGGTCTTGAAAAGGTGTGAGCCACCCCACCTGGCCTGGTGCCTCACTTTTGATTTCACTTGACATCTTCAGATAATGATGAGGTCCTTTGCAGTTAAGGATTAGCTGAGGGCTTATATATCCCTGATCAGGGTCAGCACATCAACCTCCTCACTATTCTCCCTTTAATCCACTGGCCACCAATGATACTTCCAATGTACAAATCTACCAGTTCCTCCTAGCACAATGTAGGTGCTCCACCCAGATCTACAGGATTTCTTTTTGTTGTTTCCCTGTGCCAGATTACCTTTGATGTGCTTTCAAAGGCCAGCCCCAGAGGCTCTTCTTTGAAGAACTGCCTTCAGGCTAATAGAGCTGTTTTGCCTTCCCTACGCTGACTTTAACCAATGATTGTCAAATGGAGGAATTAATCAGTGACTGTGGAGAGTTTAACTCTCTAGCCTGCAACTCTGAGGCATAATTAACTGGTTCTGGATTTCTGCCTGAGATCCTTGTTTGGGTTCCTCCTCTTCCTTTTCCTGCTTCTACGCCCTTCTGTGAGCATGTTGTTAACAAATCACATGGACACAAATCCTCTCAGTCTGCTTCTAGAGAATTCATCCTGAAACATCCCTTCTTAGCTTCAAACCCATCCATGGATCCCTACTGACTCAGGATAAAGCCCATGCTTCAAGGTCCTTACCCTCTGACTGCTGCCCACTTCTCCAGCCTCACTTCCCTGCCCTCCAGCCAGCAGGATTTTCAGTCCAGCAAGTCATTGTGGTTTCCCACCACCTGCCATTTGGCCTCCAGAAGGGGTGGGGAACCTGCAGCCTTAAGGCCACATGTGACCCTCCAGATCCCCTAGTACGGCCCCTTGATGGAATCCAAAATTCACAGAACAAATGATTTGTTCTGTGAAGTTTGGGTTCAGTGAAAGGCCACACTTAAAGATCTAGAAGGCCACGTGTGTTCCCAACGCCGAAGGTTCCGCACCGCTGACAGGCCTTTCTTCTTCCCTAGCAAGGTGGGTAGGGTGTTCCCACCTAAGACTTTATCTGGAGTTCTGCTTCTCACAGGAAGTTATACTTCAAGTCTAACCTTGAGCCTACCTGCTATCTTGAGCCCTTTCCTTTCATCCAAGCCCCTGGCACTCCCTACCTGGGCCCCACCTTTCTCTGTGGTGTGGCACTCAGTCCCTGCTGGGGCCTGCCAGGGCACAACCTTGTATGTTCTTTTTCTTGGCAGCAGCAGCAGATGTAGTATTTTTAACCTTACTGAGGTGGCTCAGGAGGTTGCCCAGTCTGGTGACTTTTCCCTCTAGAAACTGTGACTGCCAGGAAGGGAAGAGTCAGAACTGAGGCTTGCAGCTGGGTCAACTTGACCTTTCAATAGTCTGGGACCCAGAAACATTTGTTAGATGAATGAAAGGCCTTTGCATAAGCTGCCAAAGTCACTCCTACTCCCACCAAATCAAACATACAAAAGACTTAGGACTAATTCTCCTGGTCTGCCAGGCTGTCAGGACAGTTAAGAGACTGGGACATGAACCATTTAAACCCAGGGACCAAGGACCTGAATGGGGACATAAACAAAAGCTTACCTGCCCTCTCCACACACAGGGCCCAAGAGGGCATTCAAAATGTGAACTTTAATAACAAACAACAGGTCAAAGTGGGGGTTCCCCAGGAACAAGAATGATGGAGCTGGTGCTGGAGGCCTCAGGGGTCCCCACTCCCTCTCCTCCAAGGCCTGGAGGCAAGGAAGCAGTGGACCCTATTGAGAAGGAGCGGTGCCCAGCTCCATGTAAGTCCATCTGGGGCCCTGAGACCCAAGGTGCAGCAGTGTATGGAGCAGACTGCGTACCCTGCCTGAACCAGAGGTCCCGGCAGGGAGTGTGGCCCAGATTGGGCAGGCGAGCAGGCTAAGGGCTGTGGGGTCAGATTCGGAAGCTTTCCTCCCGACCATCAATGTGGCGGAGCCGCAGGTAGACGTCTGTGCCAATGCCCTGCAGGGACTGCAGCTGCAGGGAACCACCGAGGTACTCCGCGTAGGCCCGTGATGTGGGCAACCCGAAGCCAAAGCTGGGGGTGGGCAGGGGGATAGGACAGGGGGCTTCAGAGGCTTGAGTATCCTGGGGCCCCCCACCCCTCCATCCTGGCCAGGTGGGGCCTCACCCATGCATAGGTCCTGGCTGGCCACCACTATGCATGTCCAGGTGGCCAAAGAGGGGGCTGATCCGGGGGTCCTGGGTGCTGGCTTCAGCTGTAGTGAAGTGGTAGTCCATGACCCGATCCAGGTCTTTGTGAGCAATTCCTCCACCTCGATCTGAAATCCTGGCAGGATATCAACAACATGGGCTTGCTAAGCTTTGAGGGGGGTTCACTACCTTCTAGGCAGACAGTTCTAAGTCTGCCTTCTTGTCCCTTCCATTCAAAGGTAGAATGTGGTCCACCTAGACCCTTGGGTTTATATAAGCCACATTTCTCCCTCTCCACCTTTGCCTGGGGTGGTGTGTGTGGGGGGGTGACTACTTATACCTTCTCACAGGATTTGACATTTATTCTCAGTCCAGCATCTTAGACTGGTTACTTCTGTTTCCCAACTCTAGTCCCCTCAGGTACTGGCAGAGGCAGGGCCCTGGGGCCTGCAACTAGCCTCAGATCCATTAATACCCAGCTTGTGGCAATCTCAGAAAATCCTGTTTGATGAGGGACTTAGCCCCAGAGTGTGGTAGGTACTAGCTTAGAGGTCCTACAGCAAGTCAGAAACAGTGCCCAGAACCTCTATCCACCCCAACCCAACTCCCACTCAGGGCAAACCTGATGATGAGATCAATATCATTGTTGGCGATAGTGATGACCACATCTGGGACGTTGTAAGGAGTGTCTAGGTGACTCTCCATTGTGGCTCTATGTGGGGAGAAAGACCAGTAGGTGGTGGCACACCAGTTCCTGTCTTCCCCCCACCCAGCATGTCCAGCCGGCCCACCTCATGGCATTCTTGAGCAGCTCAGGCAGGATGTAGTCCAGCGGCATAGGGATGAAAGGGAAACGAGCAGCCACATGTCCGTTGATGCGGACACGGGGGGCATTGCCATACTTGTGCTCACACAGGCGTCTGTAGATAGGAGCAAGAATTCAGACAGGTGCCTAGACCAGTGGTTCTCAACTGGAGGCAATTATGCCCCTATAGGGAACATTTAGCTATGTACAGAGATATTTTTGCTGCTCACAACTGGGGATATGATAGGCAACAAATGAGTAGAAGCCAGAGATTCCTGCTAAACATCTTAACATGCATGGGACAGCACCCCTACTACAAAGAATTATCTGGCTCAAAATGTCAGTTGTGTCAAGGTTGAGAAACCCTGCCCCAGGCAAGGGCTCAGATTCAAGCTGTCCCTGCCCCTAGACATCTGCCCCCTTAGCCATTCTGGCCTCACCTGGCAAAGTCCACCCACTTTTCAATAATCTTCTTTGGTGAGAGACGGGTGCAGATGATGCCAACAAAGTCGGGCTGGCGGAAGAAAGAAGCTTAGTAACACCTTCACCCCCACCTCAGGCGCCAAATGCTTGCAACTTCTCAACTGCCCAAAGGCAGCAGCCCCAAAGCCTCTGCCCCAGGCCCTTGGCCCAGATCCCCAGCTCAGTCTTCCTGTCCCACTTACTATTCCCAAGTAGGTCTCAGGCCCCAAAGCCTACCTTGTCCTCATGCAATGCCAGATGATGAGTGGCCAACATGCGGATCCCAAGCCTGGAAGTCAGCGTCTTGTCCAAGAAGTATCGGACGAGCTTTTCATCCTGTAAAGAGTGGGGTTTCAGAACCCTGTCCCCCTTCTTAACCCCCTCAACAATCCTGGCCCCCTCCTCCACTGACTGGACCTGTATGTGCTTCCGGCTCTCACGCAGGCCCTCAGCTAAGAGGGTCACCACATCCTTATGGTCATCCAGCAGCTGTCGCACCAGCTGGCAGTATTGGGCCTCTTCTGCCTGGTCTTTGATCTGCAGGTCACATAGTCATGAGCACAGGTGGCCCAACACTAACCTCCTCAGCCCCTCACCCTGTTCTGGCCCAAACCTCACCGGGGGGAAGTCTGTCAGCTTCTGGAAGGCACGGATGTACAGCTCGTGCTGCAAGGAAGAGGCGTGGGAATTCATGGGGCTGCCACTAGCACTGGTGAAAAACAGCCACCCTTGACTACGCACCCAAACCAATTCATGTGGTTCAAACCCCCACTGTGCCATTTCCAGCCTCCACAAATATGCAGCCTTAGCCTCTGAAGGGTTAGGGCTGAATCCTATATGGCCCTGATACCTTTAGGCAAGCCAGACTCTGCCACTATGGGCCCCAGACTCCCCATTTGCCCCTTGGGAAGTGAGCACACTGATCTAAGGTCCTTTCTACCTTACCACATGCAGTACGGTGGGGTTGCAGCCAATGATGAAAGGAAGGCAGCGGAAGCCCTTGATTCGGTGAGCGATCCTTACTGGTAGCTCTTGCTGCAGGTACCGGGCACTTTTCTAGAAAAAAAAGAGGAGGGAATGCAGGGCTGGGACCTGAGTCCCAAAGTGCCAGGAGCCAAGAGGAAAATTAGGGCTGGAACCTTACCAAGAGGTGGCTACCATCCTGAGAGCGGCCGGAATAGAGCATCATGGTTGGAGTGAGGCGAACTGAGGGCTAGAGAGGCAGATGGGCCTTGAACACAGGACCTCCAACATCCCACATCAGTTCCACCCTCTCCCTGGATACCCATTCCAGCTCCTGACCCTGGGCTCACTGCCCCAGCTGTATACCTTCTCTGCTGCCACATCGATAGCCGACTGGTTGTAAAAGGAGGTGACGGTCTTGGAGCGCTCCCGTGCCATCTCCACGTAGTGTGTATCAGTAGCTGATGTTGAGCGGGCCCGGAGCGAGAGTGCAGGCCCCAGGAGGGGCCGGAGTGGAGGCCCGCCCCGGGGGCCACTCCCCAGCACCGATGCGAGTATCATTGCCCTGCTCCTTTGTCGGACTGGGCGGCCGCTAGGGCTGAGAACTCAAGGGATGGAGGCGATCCCAGAACGGGAAAGGGACTGCGGGTGGGCAAGGGCTCTTCTCTGACTTCAGGGGCGAGGGCCCGTCAAGGATGCTGACAAGCTCAGCCCCCGGTGAGCAGCTCCCATCTACCGGGGCGGGAAGGGGTAGTTGTAAGGATCCAAATCCAGATGACTCGCACCACCTCTCCACGTGGGCACCCATATCCACAGACCTGGGCAATCTCTGCCCTCCCCTTCAACCACCTCCCCAAACACACACAGGCCAAGGCTGGACAACCTTGCTTTCTGGAGCTTCTATTCTTCAACCTGAGGCACTCTCTGGTGGCGCTGGGGAGGAGGAGACCCTTGGACCCATACAGCCCGAAAACCTCGCCCCAGCTCCCTCTGGTCCTGGGCACCCTCGTTCAGGGGGCGGGGCTGACCCCTACCCAGCGCCTTCAGACCCAGGACCCCGGGCGCCTGGCTAGCATACGTGCGACACACTGAACTGTGTCCACCAGTGTTGGCTACATCGAAGGTGTGGCCAGGAGTCTCCGAGTTCCCTCTCTGGAGGGGGGTCACTTGGTCCCGCCCGGATCCCCCCCATATGGTATGCCAGCCCCCGCCTGTGCGCGCTCCCGCGCCATGGTGTGGGCTGCAGACGTGCGCTGCGGAGCCTCCGCGGGCAGGGTTCGCGCGTGCGGGTTACTCCACTTACCTCGGGGACAGAGCCAGGTCCTGGGTCCGAGCAGAACGGCCCAAACAGCCGAGCGGCCGGGCTAACCGAGCCGCCTGCGCCCTCTGCCGTCGTGACGTAGCGCGGGCTGTGGGTGCCCGATGCCTCCTGGGAGTTGTAGTTTGGCACTGAGAACTCGCAACACCAGCGCCCGCCCCTCCCAACTATGACCCTGCTCCCGGACCCCCAGGTAAATAGCATTGCTCCCTCCATAGGGCTCCTGAAGTCATCTGTGGTGTCTCTGGGCCTCTCTCTCCAGCACTATATAACATGGGCTCCCTAGGAGCAAAACGTAGAGGGTGGGAAGACCCTTAGATGTAAAGCCCGCAGATCATAACCCTCCCTACCTGATTCTGTGAGGTTCTGACCTTCTTCTTCCAGTTCTTGGTTCATTTATGAGAAACCAACCTGCTTGGTTTAAATCACAGTTCAGCCCCTTAATACCTGGGGCAAGTTACTTAACTGCTCAGTGCTTTAATTTCCATATTGGTAAAATGAGGATGTATCAATCGTGGGGTTGTATGGATTACATGAATTTATATGTGAAAAGTGCCTAGAACAGTGCTAAGTATAGAATTAGCACTATATAATTGTTAGCCATTATCATTATCATTATTCTTTCATACCTGTGATGAATGCAAGTCACATTGACTGGGTGACTTTTCTGCCCCAGAAGAGTTTGGGCCATGTCAAATAAATAGACTTTTCCCTGCCCTGGACAGGAAGACAGTTTCAGTGTGGTCAGCTATGATGAGTGCCTCACAGGAAGCATCAGATAGGGACTGGGACATTGGTACAGGTGCATGAGTAGGACTTGGCCAGGCGAGGGAGCCAGGTGGGAAGGGTGTGACAGGATAGAGAACAGACTGGATGATCTGTGGCTATCGCTGGAGCCTTGTGGAATCTAGGAAGGGGAGGCGCCAAAAGGGATGGTCAGCAGCTCATTGGAAGGTAAGAAGTCTGCGTTTGTCCTGAGGCGGTTAGGAACTACTAAAGGGTTTTAACTCGTGGGCTCTGCTCCTTAGAACTCTCGGGCTGTAGCGATTGTAAGGGTGGGGGTTGGTGAGACCAAAGGCAGAGAGGCCAGTGAGAAGATAACTACTTTATCCAGGCAAGAGGTGATGGGAGACACACCTTTTCAGTGTGTGTGTGTTTGTACTGATTGGATTTTTCTTTACTGAGGCTATATATTTTATAAATTTTTTTTTTAATTTTTCTTTTTAAAAAAATTTTTTAACTAAAAAAAGTGTTAAGTGAAGCAGGTGACATCTTTGGAGGCTGTCTTTAAACTGCCTCCAAAGGTGGAACTGCTCACCATGACTGGACCGCCTGAGGACTTGGGAGAAGAGACCATGGGAAAGGGGCTCCCTGAGTCTCTGGGCCTCCTCTTTGCTCCTCACCCCCATACCGTTCCCACCCCTTCTTTGCAGCATCCTGGCAATATCCTGGAGTCCAGCCAGGAGGCCACTTGCCCCGGAGGCAGGCACGGCTGGAGCCCGTGGAAGAAGGTAGAGGGAAGGGTGCTCCTGGTGGGAAGGACACCCTGCGCAAAGCAGCAAAGGACTCGGAGTGCTCGTGTGCGCCAGAGCTGGGCGCTCACGTGGCCGCAGCGTGGACAGGGGCCGCCTGGGAGGAGGCAGCTGTGGCCGCCACAGAGGCGGAGGCGTCTGGCAAACATCACCCCAGTTGACCCTGCGTACTTGGCTAACGCTCGGCCCAAACTCGCTGCTGCCCCCGGCGGCGGAGGCCGGACACGCACCTCACGAGCCCCCTGTCGGAATACTGTGTAGGTGGGGCACTCTACTAATGGCTTTATATGCATTAATTTAATCTTTGTAACAGCCCTCTGAGGTAGGTAATATTATTTTCTTCATTTTACGGATGCAAGAACTGAGGCCTAGAAAGATTAAAAGACGTGTTGCCTCTTTTTTCTCCCGGCCCTCACCCCCTACATTCACTCTGCTCCAACCACACTGGCCTCCCGGGTCACTGAACATACTGGCACAATCCACTTCAGGGCCTCTCAGTGGCTGTTCCTTCTGGCCGGAGCACCCTTCTCCTAGATATTCACATAGCTGGTGCCCTCACCTCCTTCAAGCTTTTGCTGAAATGTCAACTGAATGAAGCCCACCTTGTCCATCCTATTTAAAATTGCAATCACCTCCATTCTCCTTACTCTGCTTTTTATTTTATCCATAGCACTTATTACCAATGACACGCTATCTATGTATTTTACATATTTATTATATTAATTGCTCATTTCCCCCTACTTTTCTAAAATGTAAGACAAAGCATGTTTGTCTGCTTTACTGAGTTATCTCAAGCCCCTAAACACAATCCCTAGTAAATAACAGGTACCTAGTAAACATTTATTAAATAAATTAAGGAAACATAGGGATTTATTCTAGGAGTTATTGAAATGGGATGCTACTGAAAGGCAGAGAATGACAAAACTACATCTTTATTTTTTATTTTTATTTATTTTTCTTGAGATAGAGTCTCGCTCTGTAGCGTAGGCTAGAGTGCCATGGTGTCACCCTAGCTCATGGCAATCTCAAACTCCTGGGCTCAAGTTATTCTCCTGCCTCAGCCTCCAGAGTATCTGGGACTATAGGCCTGTGCCCCCCCCCACTAATTTTCCTATTTTTAGTAGAGACAGGGTCTTGCTCTTGCTCAGGCTGATCTCAAACTACTGAGTTCAAGCGATTCTCCCACCTGTGCCTACCAGAGTGCTAGGATTACAGGCATGGGCCACCGAGCCCAGCCTATGTCTTTATTTCTTAAAGGATAACTCTGGTTTCTGTGTGAAGAATGGATCTTGGGGTGGAGTACAGCTATATTTGGGAGACCAGCAAAGAGGATACTGCAGTTATCTAGGTGAAATGTGATGATAGCTTGGGTCAGGGTAGTGGTGTGCATAGATGATGGGGAGTGACAGTGAGAGAATAGTCCAAGATGGGTGGCTTAGGTGGATGGAGAGGCTATCCCTAAAATGGGAGACTGCAGAAGAAAAGCAAGTTTGGGGAAGATAAATGGTTCAGTTGGGGTGTGTTGCATCTGATAGGTCTGTAAGATATCCAGGATGTGGTTCTACTATACGGCTTACAGCCCAGGAGAGAGATCTGGGCTTAGGTAGAGTTTGAACGTTGTGATCTATGGGTAGTAAGGAAGACATAGGAGGAGATAATGTTGCCCCAGGTGGTGGCACATTGTATTTTCCAAATATGGCTCATCCCACATGAACTTCTTACAATATGACTTTGACGCTTGTTGCATCAGGAGGTGAAGGCAGTCTATGTTCCTTCCCTTGGAGCTGTGATTACAGTGCAAGGATGCTATTTGACTTCTGAGGCTAGATCATAAAAGATGATGTAGCTTCTACCGGCTTCCTAGAGCACATGTGCTAAAGCCACAGGCTGCCATGTGTGCAGTCTGACTGCCCTGTATTAACTATCTAATGCTGTGTAACAAATTACCCCCAAAACATAGCATCTTAAAAAATAAGCATATATTATCTCACACAGTTTCTTTGGGTCAGGAATATTGGAGCAACTTAGCTGGGTGGTTTTGGCTCAGGGTCTCTCGTGAGGTGCAGTCAAGATGTTGGCCAACACTATAGTTCCCTGAAGGCTTCACTGCTGCTGGAGAATCCACCTCCAAGGTAGATCTCTCACACGCCCAGCAAGCCAATGCCGGTTGTTGGCAAGAGATGTTAGTTCCCCACTAAGTAGACTTCTCTCTAGGGCTACTTGAGCCCCTTTCTAACATGGCATCTGGCTTCCTGTAGAATGAATATCTAAGAGGGAACAAGATGGAAGCCACAGTATCTTTAGGATTTAGTCTCAAAAGTTATACACTTTTGTCATTATTTTATTGGGTCAGTTCAGCCCCATTCAGTGTGGGGAGAGACTACTCAATGGTATGAATGCCAGGAAGTGGAAATCATTGAGGACCATTTTGGAAGCTTAACGCCAAGGCTGCCATGCTATGAGGGAGCCCAAACTAGTCCATGCAGAGAGACTACATGGATAGGTCCTGAGACTACATGGAGAGAGAGAGAGAGAGATGCTCAGTTATCATTCAGCTGCTTCAGCCTCTCATTGTTACAGCTTTGGCCACCATCTGATTTTGCAATTGCATGAGCCAGAACTGCCTAGTCAAAATTCTCCTCCCAAATTCCTAGCCCATAAAAACTACATAAGAAAATAAAATGACTGGTACTGTTTTAAGCCATAATATATATATGTATTTTTTATTTATTTATTTTTTTTGAGACAGAGTCTTGCTTTGTTGCCCGGGCTAGAGTGAGTGCCATGGCGTCAGCCTAGCTCACAGCAACCTCAAACTCCTGGGCTCAAGCAATCCTGCTGCCTCAGCCTCCCAAGTAGCTGGGACTACAGGCATGTGCCACCATGCCCGGCTCATATATATATATATATATTAGTTGGCAAATTAATTTCTTTCTATTTATAGTAGAGATGGGGTCTCACTCTTGCTCAGGCTGGTTTCAAACTCCTGACCTCGAGCAATCCGCCCGCTTTGGCCTCCCAGAGTGCTAGGATTACAGGCATGAGCCACCGCACCCAGCTATATATGTGTATTTTTGAGACAGGGTCTTGCTCTCTCACCCACACTGGAGCACAGTAGTGAGATCATAGTTAAGCCATAATTTTGTGATGATTTGAACAACAATAAATCTTCAATGATGCCCACCTCCTGGTAGCCATACCATTGTGAACTCTCTTCCCATACTGAATAGGGCAGAATTAACGTAATAGGATGATGCAGAAATGACAGTGTGTGACTTCTGAGGCTAAGTCTTAAAGATATTGTGATTTCCTTTTTTTTTTTTTTTTTTTTTTTGAGACAGGGTCCCTGTTGCCCAGGCTAGAGTGCCATGATGTCATCATAGCTAACAGCAACCTCAAACTCCTGGGCTCAAGTGATCCTCCTGCCTCAGCCTCTGGAGTAGCTGGGACCAGCAACACCACACCCACTAATTTTTTCTATTTTTATTGAGATGAGGTCTCATTCTTGCTCAGGCTATGACTTCCATCTTGCTCTCTCTTAGATCACTTCTTCTAGAAAAAGCCAACAAGAGTAACAGGAACACCCCAGAAGACTACAGCCAGAGATGAGAAACAGGCCAAAATTATAGCCTCCTGTATTAGTTTCCAGTTGCTGCTGTAACATATTGCCACAAATCTAGTGGCTTAAAACACCACAATTTTTTTTTGCCATACAGTTTATTATAGAAAAGAAAGAAACTATACAAAGTTAAAGTAAAGAAGGAAGCTACCCAAAGTGATAATACGTTCCAGAGAGAGGAACAAGTCAGTCCCCACAAGTGGAGAAATACCAAAACATCACAAGTTTATTTTACAGTTCTGTAGCTTAGAAGTCTGACAAGGTCTCACTGGGCTAAAATCAAGATGTGAATGCTTCCCTGCTTGTCACTGTAGGGGAGAATCTATTTCTTTGCCTTTTCCTGCTTCTAGAGGCCACCTGCATTTATTAGCTCAGGGCTCCATTCCTCCATCTTCAAAGCCAGCAACATTGTAGCTTTCTGTATCTTTCTTCTGTGCTCACATCTCCCTGACTCTCTTCTGCCACCCTCTTTTACTTTTAAGGGCCCCTGTGATTACACGGGCCCTGATCCAGCATCACCTCCCTGTTTTAAAATCAGCAGAACAAATTTAGTTCCTTTGGCAACCTTAATTCCTTTTGCTATGTAACCTCACATATTCACAGGTTCCAAGGATTAAGACATGGACGTTTTTGGAGACCATTATTTTGTCTACAATATTCTCTGGAAGAAAACAGTAGATCCAAGTAGGAGCAGCCAGAGAGGAAGGAGGGCCAAGAGGAGAATGAAATATCACAGAAGCCAGAGGAAGAGAGAGTTCCCAGGAGAGAGTGCGAGAAACAGTAACCAACACGGGAGGTTAAGTAAGATTAAGACCTGAAAAAATACCATTGGATTTAGCATTTTAGTGAAACCATCCACTAGGTGTCAGAAGAGTGCTGGGGCAGGAGCTATTTTATGGTGTGGGCAGCAAGGAATAAGTAAGGAGGCAGAGGCTGAAGAGTGTAAAATCTTTCCAAAAACTTGACTGTGAAAGGGAAGATGGGATAATAGAGGAATGGTGGAGGGAGCTGATGAAGGAACTTTTTTTTTTTTGAGACAGAGTCTCACTTTGTTGCCCAGGTTAGAGTGAGTGCCATGGCGTCAGCCTAGCTCACGGCAACCTCAAACTCCTGGGCTTGAGTGATCCAAACTCCTGGGCTTGAGTGATCCTTCTGCCTCAGCCTCCCGAGTAGCTGGGACTACAGGCATGCGCCACCATGCCCGGCTAATTTTAATATATATATCAGTTGGCCAATTAATTTCTTTCTATTTATAGTAGAGACGGGGTCTCGCTCTTGCTCAGGCTGGTTTTGAACTCCTGACCTTGAGCAATCCGCCCGCCTCGGCCTCCCAAGAGCTAGGATTACAGGCGTGAGCCACAGCGCCCGGCCCTACTTTTTTGTTTTTGAGACAAGGTTTTCCTCTGTCTGTCACCCAAGCTGGAGTGTAGTGGCACGATTATAGCTCACTGCAGCCTCAAACTCTGCTGAAGGAACTCTTGGTGAAGGGAGATTTGTTGCTGCTTCTGAGATGGGAAAGAGAAACAAATTTCAGTGCAGATGGCAAGGATGGAGAGGTTGAAGGTGTAGAAGAGATAAGTCATCAGCAGATGGAATGTCTATGAAGGAAAGCGCTCAGCTGGCCCACAGGGGGCTTGGATAGGAGGGATGACTGTTGAGTCAATCCAGGCTCGGGTTTTGCCAAGTGGGCACTGCCTAGTAGAAAGGTTGAGATACTGTCAAGCGTGTGACCAAGGCAGTAGCGCTGGGAATTTAAGGGAGAGAAGGCAGGAGGCATTGGTAAGGCAGGAGGGAATGGCTGAGCAACCTGGGAGGACAGGTTTTAGCCTCAATGGAGTCTGAAATAATTTCAGAGATGCTTGGTCCCTGAATGGATCGCAGTATTCCCTGCACCCCTTGATCCTCTAGTCTCTAGGTCTTGGATGTTCCAATGCTTGCCACTGAGCTTAGCCTATATAGAGTCAGCGTGAAATACTGCCACTCACATTAATATCATTTTAAAAACTCTGGAGACTCCATTTCCCTTGCTGCCTTGCAGCCGCCGCGACTACAACTCCCGTGATGTCCCGCGGTCGCCTTGTCAGTGATCACCCACCTTTCCTTGACGTTTTACCAGTCCCAGCGTTCCTCGTTGTTTTCCTGTCTCGCCTTCACGGCTGTTGAGTCCCAGGACAACCAATTGGACCATGGAGTAGGAGACCTGGCAGGCCAATCGCCCCAGCCACGGGGGCGGGGGTGGTGTGGCCATATCCTGTCCCGCCCCTGCTCCGTGGCTGGGGCTCTCCTCGCTGGCGCCTCGGGCGGGACCTGCAGATATGGGCACCACCTGGGGGAGCCCGGGATGGGTGCGGCTCGCGCTCTGCCTGGCAGGCTTAGTGCTCTCTCTCTACGCGCTGCACGTGAAAGCGGCGCGCGCCCGGGACCGAGATTACCGGGCGCTCTGCGACGTGGGCACAGCCATCAGCTGTTCGCGCGTCTTCTCCTCCAGGTGCGCGCGCGGGAATGAAAGGCACGGGGCCTCAGAGACCAGATGTGCTTGGAGGCCACGTTGCTAGAAGATTTTGGAGTCTGAAATCGGGGTGCCTGGGGGATAGACACTTGGGAGCTGGGCTGCTGCGGGGGGTGTTGCATATGGGCTGGGCAACTCAGAGACACTGGTGTTGCAGATAGAAGTGCAGGTAAGCGGGGCAGACAGTGCTGGAGGCTGGGGTTATTCTAGGGAATAGCGGGTGGATCTGATGCCAATGAATAACAGTGATTAGAAAAAAGAGGGAGGTAGGGTAGCACATAGGGACCGATAGTGGTCTTAGGATGGCACCTGAGGGTTGGTGATTGCTGTGCCTGGGGACAAGGTGGCTAGGCCTGGCTGTACTTGAAGCCCAGGGGTTATCGAGGATGGAATACAGAGGAGAGTGGGTGGCTAGGGAGCTGGAGATCTGTGGGTCTCTAGGGCAAAGAGAATCTCCCCTGGGTTCCCAGGCTCTAGTAACTCTAAAACGGGGTCAACCCAGCCTTGCCATCTTTAAGAATTATAGAAGGCCTAGGATAAAAAGAGGGGCCTATGGAGGAGCCATGGCCAGGCTTAGTGGGGATTGGGGACGATAGGGACAGTGACATGGAAAGCTGACGTGGCCAAAGGTGCTAGGCACCAGGTCATCGACCCTTGGCCTGGGGGCGGGGGGACTGGGAATAGGGGAAGCCCAGGTGGCCTCCTGGAAGTCACCTTTCCAGGAGTGGGTCCAGGGCACTAGGTTGACACTCCTAACCTGGGTCCCCTCCCACAACTACCACCAGGTGGGGCCGGGGCTTTGGGCTGGTAGAGCACGTGCTGGGACAGGACAGCGTCCTCAATCAATCCAACAGCATATATGGTTGCCTCTTCTACACACTACAGCTGTTGTTAGGTAAGTGGCCCCACCCCTTCATGACAGGCCTCTTCCCCCTTGGCCAGCCTAGCCCCATCCCACACAGTCCTGGTGGCCCAGACAAGCTGCCAGCCAGCTAGCTGCTTATCACTGAGCATCCTGGGGGCAAGGAGGCGGGGCGGGAACTAACAGTCTTTTAGTTGGTTTAGGTACTGTCATAAGCTGAAGGGCCCTTAATGATACGTTAGGACCCTAGTTTTGTTAAAAAGACTCAGAAATTCCTTTTTGAAGGGAATCCAAGGATGACCAATCTTTCATCTCATGTAGAGCTCAAGAGGAAAATCCCGTTTGGTCCCAGGGATCACTGAACAGACAGGGGAACCAAGGTCTTGGAGGGGCCAGGCAAAGCCTCTTGTTTTAGAGACTTTCCTCGGCAGCTCCTGCTGTCTGGGTGGCACCATGAAGTCAGAGCTGTATTTTAGAGCTGGCCAGTCCCTGAAGCCCATGCCTTACCCTTTTCTGCCTTGCAGGTTGCCTACGGGGACGCTGGGCCTCTATCCTGCTGGTGTTGAGTTCCCTGGTGTCTTTGGCTGGTTCTGTCTACCTGGCCTGGATCCTGTTCTTCGTGCTCTATGATTTCTGTGTCGTTTGTATTACCACCTATGCCATCAATGTGGGCCTGATGTTGCTAAGTTTCCGGAGGGTCCAAAAATCCCAGGACAAGATTAAGGGGCACTGAGCCCTCACCCCAAGCCAGGCTGACCTTGTCTGCTTTGCTTTGGCATGTAAGCCTTGCCCAAGGGGGACATACCTGGGTCCATAGAAGGCCTTCTAGATATGCCCCCCAGCCCTCCCCATTGCTATACCCAAACACAACACAATGGACCAAGTGTGCCATGCTCTCACTCTTTTTTCCACCCAGTGCCTCTGGTTCTGTCCTCAAGGGCTGGTTTCCAAAGCTGCTGCCATTGCTCAGGGAGGGAAGGTTCTGAGCAATAAAATTTCTTAAATAAAGTGGCCAAGTCTGAACCATCTGTCTACCAGGGATCCTGGTGTCAGGCCTCCCCAAGTGTCTGCCTTCTCTGGAACTGGGAAGGATGTGAGTCAGAGGGAGAGGTAGAAGGCTTCCTTGGAAGAGTAATTTATGATTAGTCCCATCTCCCTTGTGGAGCCAGCAAACCCTGGGGCAACATCAGCCCCTACCCCCAGGAAATAGGCCAGCAGCTTGTTCCTGCTGCCCATAAGAGCCAGGGCTCCTTCCTCTCCTGGGAGGTCAAGCTGCCCTTCTGGTTCTATACATGATTGCTGAGAAGTTCTTCCTACAGTTTAACCTTAACCCTTCCAGCTGCTTTACCTACCATCCCAAGCCAGTCTTGGCAGCTCCGGAGGACCAGGGCCAGGTTGTGTTTTTTGTTTTTCTTTTCCTAACATGTACTGAGCATTTGCCCACATGCCAAGCACTGTTTAAGAACATGTGTTAGGCTGGGTTTGGTGGCTCACGTTGTAATCCTACTATTCTGGGAGGCCAAGGAAGGAGGATTGCTTGAGCTCAGGAGTTCAAGACCATCCTGAGCAAGAGCAAGACCCCATTTCTACTAAAAATGGAAAGATTAGTTGAGCATCACGCACACTTGTAGTATGCACACCTGTAGTACCACCTACTTGGGAAGCTGAGGCCGGCGGATCGCTGGAGCCCAGGAGTTTGAGGTTGCAGTGAGCTATAATGACTCCACTGCACTCCAGCCTGGATGACAGAGTGAGACCCTGTCTCCAAAAAAAAAAAAAAAAAAAAAAGAACTGGTGTTAACTCATTTAATTCTTATAGCCATTTATAAGGTAAGTATCTTGATGAGGAAACTGAGATACAAAGAGGCTGGGTAAATTGCCTAAGATCATGCAGCTAGTGCCAGCGGTCAGGAAGCTCTCAGGATGTGAATCCACTTGGGCCCTCTGGCTCCAGTGACCATGCTCTAACTCTACATCCAGCTGCCCCGTGCTGGGGTCAGGGTTCATGAACAATCTGGGCTGGCCTGAGTTAGGAGTCAGGAAGAGAAGAAGGAAGCACCCTGAGTTTTCTTCCCATCCGACTGAGAGAGCCTTCCAACACCTGTAAGAAAGGTGGGCACCACTGTAACCGTTTCTCGAGAAGGCAGCAGGCCTAGAGAGGTGCTGGGGTTTGCCAAGGCCCGTGGTCAGCAAACAGCACAGGGCCTGCCCCTCAGTGCCCAGCCTTGCACACACTTTCTCTGGCGTGGACACAGGGAGAAGGTATTTGAATCCCACCTGGCCCTGGCCTGGGAGAATGGCAGGGAGCTGAAGTGAAAGGTGGGAACAGTTCCAGAATGATGGTTCCAGGCTGGGAGTGAGTTTGCTGCATGCCAGACTGTAGTCTAAGCATTTTTACATTTGCAGCAACTCTGAATTTTTTAGACAAGGCACAGATAGCTTAACTCTCCAAGGTCACTCAAGTAGTAAGTAGGGGAACTCTGGCTCCATGGCTGAAGCCTAGAGACAGACAGAGACCACTTCAGGGTCGCACAGCGACAGCCCCAGAGCTAGGAGTTGCTGGCTCCCTGCCAGCCGAGGAAAGCAATGACACCTGACTCCTGGCCAACTGGGGGCGGAGCAGAGGTGGAGCCGGGAGACCCAGGTGGCCTCTCAGAACCAGAGCACAGGCAGCTGAGTGCAGCAGCATGAAACAGAGCTGGAGACCAGGGCTGCTCATCCTGGGAGTGGTGGTCTTCATAGAGGGTAAGCCACCTGTGTGAGGGAGGCGAGAGTGCTATGACGAGGGTGCAGGGGGGAGCCTGCCTGGAGGGCACCAGTCTGCCTGTGGCGATGTAACTGCGTGTGGCTCTGCCTGTGGAGAGGTATATGTGGCTACCTGTGTCAAAACAGGTGGGATTTTCTTGGGCTGGGTTACCGTTTGTGTGTGCAGGGACTGTCCACAGCTGCCTGTGTGTCTGTGTGTGGTGCTGCCTGTGTGCGTACCTTCTGCCCTGTCTGACGCTACTTCCAGAACAACCTCAGGCAAATTCTGGGCCCCCTGGCCTCAGTCTCCCTTTCTTTACCTCGGACCTGTCTCTTGGCTCTCTTGGCCCAGATGTTTCATGGGTGTATTTGTGTGTGCCTGTGAAGGGGACCAGGCAGGGCACGGATCCTTTGGGAGGACCTCTGGCGGTTTCTGGGAAGGTGCGGGAATTTGAGTCGTTAGAACAGGGGTGAGGTCTCAATTTCTTGGGGCCCTCCCCGACTTAGACATGACGCAGGCCTCTAATCCTTCCTTTTAGGCCTCCACGGCTTAGGGGACAATTAAGCTAATGCTTTGCACATACACAGGCTGTCCCCCTGACTCAGCGGCGGGGGCAGGAGTCGGGGATTCTGAAGCCTGGAGGAGGATTGGCTTGGGCCCAAGCTGAACCCCAAGCCCTGCTTCTCAGGCCCAGGAGTGCTGAGCACAGCTGAGGGAGGAGAACTAATTACTGAGTGTGTGCTGAATAGGTTCCAATAAAAGCTGTTTCTTGGCCTCACATAAATATTTTCATTCTGGGAGGGGCTGGTGAGGTAGCCATAGAGTCATGGTCAAAGACCCAGGGCCCACCCCACTACCCACCCCGTCCATCAAGCCTGGCCAGGCAGGTGAGCCTCCCCCAGGTCTCACCTGTATCTCTCTCTTCCCAGGTCTTCAAGCAGCTCAGCGTGGTAAGCTCTGGGGATGTGGGTGCTGGGCCTTACTTGGGTCTGGGTTGGGCCTGGGGTGAAGTCAGGAAAGGGGCCTGCTGTCAGCCTGACCCCCTCCTCTCCACAGCCTGTGGACAGCGTGGCCCTGGTCCCCCCAACCCTCAGGAGGGCAACACAGTACCTGGCGAGTGGCCCTGGCAGGCCAGCGTGAGGAGGCAGGGAGTCCACATCTGCAGCGGTTCCCTGGTGGCAGACACCTGGGTCCTCACTGCTGCCCACTGCTTTGAAAAGTGAGTCATGGTTGGGGACAGGCAGGGTCTCTGGTTTTGGGGGTGGACAATTTGTCTCCAAGCCCCACAAGACTGGCCCCTGCCCCTAGAATAACAATAAAGTACCATTTATTGAGAATCATATTATCAAGTTAATCTTAACAAAAACCTTTCAGAGTAGAAGCTTTACAAATGAGAAAACTGAGATCGAGAAGAGGGAAGGACCCATCTTCCCCCTGTGCTATCTCCCATGGTGTCCCTGTCTCCCCTGGCATTCAACAGCCTGGGCTTTGTCCCTCCCCTTCCAGGGCGGCAACAACGGAACTGAACTCCTGGTCAGTCGTCCTGGGTTCTGTGCAGCGTGAGGGGCCAGGCCCAGGGGCTGAGGAGGTGGGAGTGACTGCCCTGCAGCTGCCCAGGACCTATAACCACTACAGCCAGGGCTCAGACCTGGCCCTGCTGCGGCTCGCCCACCCCACAACCCACACACCCCTCTGCCTGCCCCAACCTGCCCATCGCTTCCCCTTTGGAACCTCTTGCTGGGCCACTGGTTGGGATCAGGATACCAGTGACAGTAAGTGGTGTCCCAGACTGAAGCCCAGAGAGGCATTCTGCTTGTCCGAGGTCACACAGTATCAGCTCCCAACTGTCCCAGCTCCCTTGCCTCCCAGAGCCCAGACTCTGCCCCAGCCCCTTCTCTTTTACTAGCTCCTGGGACCCTGCGGAATCTGCGCCTGCGCCTAATCAGCCGCCCCACATGTAACTGTCTCTACAACAGCCTACACCAACGGCTGCTGGCCAGCCCAGCCCGGCCTGGGATGCTGTGTGGGGGTGCCCAGGCTGGGGTGCATGGGCCCTGTCAGGTCTGATGGGGAGGAAAGCGGAGGGGAGCAGAAGGGAAGGGGCCAAGCCTTGGGCTGGGGGTTCGACCCACAGCGATGGGTGAAAGGGCTGCAGTCAAAGGGTAGGCTGCGCAAGGCTGGGATTCAGGTGTCTGTCCTTGGCTCTGTTGCCCGGCTCCAGGGAGATTCTGGGGGCCCTGTGCTGTGCCGAGAGCCTGATGGACACTGGGTTCAGGCTGGGATCATCAGCTTCACATCAAGCTGTGCCCAGGAGGACACCCCCGTGCTGCTGACCGACATGACTGCTCACAGCTCCTGGCTGCAGGCTCGAGCTCCAGGCGCAGCCTTCCTGACCCAGAACCCAGACAGCCCGGAGACAAGTGATGAGGACAGCTGTGTAGGTATGAGCAGGGGGTGCTGGGAGTGGGACATGTAGGTGGAAGCCACAGTGAAATAAACATCAGTTCAGAATACACAAGTGATACAAGGTGTCCACACGCCGCCAAGGGCTAACGAGGACACTATTAAGGTCCCCTTTCAGCCCCTGGGATGGGAACAGTCCCCTTAGGGCTGAGAAACATAGGTGCTTTGGAACATCACAGTTTTGGAATTTAGGTAAGAGGAATCTCTGAAACCTGACTGAAGGATTTGGGGGACCAGCGAGACTGGACAGGGCAGGGCTCCCAATCAAAATTCTGGCATTAAGTGACTGACATGCAAATCCAATGCAAAGTAAGTTCTGAGACGGAAGTCATATCTCGATGGTAAGAGAAGCACTAATGAGCCAGGAATACTGGAGCCAGTCCCAGCCTGGAGGGTACAGACGGGTGGGGCAAGAAGTTGTGAATAGGAACATTCCATGAGGCTGGGATGGGGTCCTTGAGACCATGTAGGTTAAAAGATCAGGCCCTGGCTTTGGAATCCCAAGTCTGCTCCTTGCCTGTGGTTACAGAGCTAGAAAGTCACTTAATCTCTCTGGAACTTTGGTTACCTTCAGTAATAAGGGTAAAAAATTTAAGGATATTGGGAAGATTGAATAGAAAGTAGGAAGTGTATACTTAGCACAGGGCCTGGCACACAGTGAGCACTTAACAAGAAGTCAGATGATGTAATGTGTCTGTTTCAGCCTGTGGGTCCCTGAGGAGAGAAGGTCCCCAAGCAGGAGCTCCTTCCCCATGGCCCTGGGATGCCAGGCTGAAGCACCAGGGGAAGCTAGTCTGTGGCGGAGCCCTGGTGTCAGAGGAAGTGGTGCTGACTGCTGCCCACTGCTTCATCGGGTGAGCCCTGTATCCCTCTCCTTTGTGCCCCCTGCCCCTGATGGCAGCTTTGTCCCAGTGCCATTGATGCTGCCTCTGCACAGGCGCCAGAGCCCGGAGGAGTGGAGTGTAGGGCTGGGGACCAGACCAGAGGAGTGGGGCCTGAAGCAACTCATCCTCCATGGTGCCTATACTCACCCAGAGGGGGGCTATGATGTGGCCCTCCTGCTACTGGCCCAGCCCGTGACACTGGGCCCCGATCTGCGGCCCCTCTGTCTGCCCTACGCTGACCACCACCTGCCTGATGGGGAACGTGGCTGGGTCCTAGGGCTGGCTCGCCAAGGAGCAGGTATGTAGGACCAGGGCCACTGGGAGCTGTTCATCTAGCCTAAAGGCTGCTGAGGCAGCTGGGTCTTTTTCCTTGCCCTACAGGAATCAGCTCCCCCCAGACAGTGCCTGTGACCCTGCTGGGGCCTAGGGCCTGTAGCCGGCTACACACAGTTCCTGGGGGTGATGGCAGCCCCATTCTGCCAGGGATGGTGTGTACCAGTGCAGTGGGTGAGCTGCCCCAATGTGAGGTGAGCTCCAGTCCCCCAAACCTTACTCAACAGACCTCTGGCATCTCCTCACCCTGTAGTTCAAGAGACCTTCTAAGCCAGGTGTGGTGGCTCATGCCTATAATCCCAGTGACTTGGGGATGGAGCTGAGGTGGGAAAATGGTTCAAGTCCAGGTGTATGAGACTAGACTGGGCAATATAGCAAGGCCTCATCTCTAGAAATATTTTCTTTTAATTAGCTGGGCATGGAGACAAACATCTGGGCATCCTAGCTACATGGTAGGATGAGGCAGGGGGATCACTTCAGCCCACAAGTTCAAAGTTGCAATGAGCTATAATCATGCCACTGTACTCCAGCCTGGGCAACAGAGCAAGACCTCCCCATCTCAAAAAAAAACAAAACAAAAAACCAAAGAGAAATAAAGACATCTTCTACCAGGATTGGCCTCTAGCCCTGCCTCTCACCTGAAACTAGACCTTTGGTAACTAGCCCCCAAACAGCCAGAGCTTCAGCCCTTAGCCCCTCTGCTGCACCCCACAGCAGCCTAAGAGGAAGTGTCACCCAGTGTCAGTGACACTGAGTGTCACCTGACCCTGACAGGGCCTATCCGGGGCACCATTGGTACATGAGGTGAGGGGCACATGGTTCCTGGCTGGGCTGCACAGCTTTGGAGATGCCTGCCAAGGCCCTGCCAGGCCCGCAGTCTTCGCAGCACTCCCTGCCTATGAGGACTGGATCAGCAGTTTGGACTGGCAGGTCTACTTCGCAGAGGCGCCAGAGCCTGAGGCTGAGACTGGAAGCTGCTTGGCTAACATGAGTATGTGGCCCTGGGGCCTCCCTGCCAGACCCTTCCTCTCCAGGCCCCTTCTCTCAGTCTAGGGAAAGTACTGCTCTGGGTACCTCTGGCTGCCCTGGGTGGGGTTCAAATCCTGGTTTTTCTCACTGTGTGACTTGGAGCAGGCTTCTTACCTCTCTGAGCCTCAGCACTCTCTCCCATCTGTCATGCGGACCAAGACAGATCCTGTTCCTTCAAGGGAAGGAGCAAAGTTGAGGATGAAACCAACCCTACTCCTTCTCCCTCTGTCTCCCTGACAGGCCAACCAGCCAGCTGCTGACGCACAACTCTGGGCTGTTCACAGGACATGAGAACACATCCAGGCAGTTCCTGCCTCACCGCCCCTGTGCCTCCCCATCCCCGACCCATGTGTGGCTCCAGGCCCAGGGGCAGGCCCCAAAGCCCAGGTGGCTGTGGGCAGAAACCTGCCCAGGACCAGATGCCCCCATTCCCCTGCAGGACAGGGATGCCACCTGCGATGCTCCCACACCAGCCCTGCTGTTCCATGCAGGCATCTCCAGCTTTCCCTGCCCTTCCTCCTCTCAGATACAATCACGCCAGGCACATGTTTTGAAAATTTCTTTTTTTGGGGGGAGCAATTTTCCTTTTTTTAAAACTTAAATAAATTGTTACAAAATAGACTTTAAAAAATAAGTTACAAATGTAGCAAAAGTCTCCCCTTCCACAGGCAACATTCCCACCCATGGCGCTCTGAATCTGCCTCTCCCTGGTGTTGGGATCTGGCTGGTGAGGGTGGCCCAACATCTTGGCAGAGGCTGGCACCAGGAAGAGCATGGTGACAAAGGCTGGGGGAAGAAGGTCCTTCAAGGACAGGGACATGAGGAATGCCCCACCCCCTTCGTGGGAAAGAAGCCAGAGTTGGGTCCTCTTCACACAAGGAGAGGAGAGAAGAGATGGGGATGCCCAAACTACTCCTGAGCAAAATGTGGAGATCAAGCCCCTCCCTGCCTGCACCCCCTCCCTAATATTCTGATCTTTGGAGACTTGAAATTCAGAGGGAGAAGCTGAGGTCTGCAGGCCACTGGGGTGAAGGGTCCAGGAGAGGGGTCGTGGGTGTGGGTGTATGGGGCAAGGACAAGTCCCCTTTGCCCGCCGCTGGTGCCACTGGGGCTCCTGGGGAGAGAGAGAGGAGGTCACTGACTGAGGGGGCAGACCCTGCACAGCTTGTAACCCCCCCAACCAGCCCTGTGGGCCACTCCCCCCTGCCCATGCATGGCCCCAGAGGCCTATATGAGAACCCAGGAATCCTATACTCCCAATTATTTTCCCAGCTGTGGCTACCGGGCTCCACTCATTTCCCTTGAGGTCATAAGGTATCTTTTATCCTGAAAGACATCCCTTCAGCTCTCAGGGGACTCTCACCCACCATCCCCTCCTTCCCTGTCAAGGGCCCACCATCTCAGGGACACCCACCCCTGGTGGCTGCTAGATGAAATGGGTCCTCGTCTCTACAGTAAGTAGAGAGAGAGCAGGCCTAGGGCTTGCTGAAGGAACAGGCTACCCCACACCTCCACAGCCTCATCCTGCAACAGGGCAGGGCGGAGGCCATTCTACACGAGATCCCTCTGATAGAGGATGTGAGATAGGGGCTAATGACTGTTGTTGCTACAGCTGGGCCTGGGCTTCAAAGAAACAATTATCTGTGACTCAGTCCTCCAGGTAAAGGTGCACAGCAGGGGTGAAGGTGGAAAGGGTGGTTTAGAGGGATCCTAAAAAAAAAACAAAACACAGCAGCAGAGGGAGGAGAAGAAAGGGGTTGAATAAAGAGAAGGAGAAGAGATGTGGGCAATACTGATAGGAAAGGAACAGAGATCTAGTTTTTAAGAAAAGAGGAGGAAGGACAAGAGACAAGGTGTAGGAAGGACAGGGAGTTGGGTGCCTACCAGTGACCCAATTTCTGTGGCCAAGTCAGCAGTGAAGCCATAAAGCCCATGCCCCATTCCTCATTCCCTGGCTCCCCGCCTGCTCTAGGAAAGAACAGAACCTAGACCAAATCAAAGCTCTATCTTTTTCTGGAAATCATTACTTTACTGGCTGAAGCAGGAGGGTTTCCAGATGTGGTAGCCAGATGGTACCCAGCTACCTTCCCCCCAAAATAAAAAGACCATTCCTCTTTGGCTACAGTAAAGCTGAGGAGCCCAAGCAGCTGCCCCTCCCGCTGACTACCCCCCACCCCGGCACTGCCCCAACCCACCATGCCATCAGACCTGAGGTGCAGACCTCAGCTGCTGCAAAGGCGCCATCCTCACACTAGTTTTGTCACTCCACATCCAAGCCCCCGGCTGCCTCGAGATCCACATGACTCTCTCCTCTCACTCTGTGCTCCCCCACCCACCTTGGGGCCTGATTTCACCCTCCACTGTGTGCCCACCTCCTTTTAGGACCCTTCCATCCTTTGCCAGAGCCCGCTCATGCCCCCGTACCAGAGCTGGCCACTGTCCATTCTTCCTGGTGCTGCTGCTGGTGCTGCAGGAAGCTGATTCGGCGGCGGAAGTGGCGGGGACAATGGGGGCAGGTGAAAGGCCCCTCCCGGGGTGCATGGACCCGCCCATGGCCCTCCAGCCGGGCAGCTGTCCGGAAGGCCTTGCCACAGATACTGCAGCGGTGGCGCTTGGGGTCCGTGTGGGTCCTGCCATGGTTCTTAAGAGAGAGCAGGTTGGGTAGAAGTTTGGGGCACAGGGAGCAAGGATACAGTCCCGTGGTATGGGCCTTTTGGTGGTTCAGCAGGCTGCCAGCATGGCGGTAGGAACGCCCACACTGGGCACAGCGGAAGGGCCGCTCCTTGTCTTCAGCCACCATGGACTTTGCTCCTTGCTCTCCGCTAGCTCTCTCAGCATTCTCTCCTGAGGGTCTGGGGGCTTCTGATGGGGCCTCCTGGGCTTTCCCTTGACCAGTGAGACTCACCTTGTCCTCCACAGTTCCAGCTTTGGGACCTCTGGCCTCCTCTGTCTGAGCTGGTACCTGACTGTGGCCCCCAGCATGAGCCTGCAGGTGGCTAGCCAGTTCATGATGGGACTGAAAGGCCTTGCCACAGTCAGGGCAAGCAAAGGTCTGGGCATCTATGTGGTTGTGGCTGTGGCTCTTAGTGGCCACAGGATTCAAGAACTCCTTGGAGCAGAGCAGGCAATAGTGTCGGTCGGTCTTGTGGGTATTTTGGTGATTCAAGGGGCTACCTGATTGGCGATAGGTTTTGCCACACTGGCTGCAGGAAGAGGGGTGGCTCTCTGGCTGAAGCTGAGAACTGTTGTCTCCATTGTCCCAGCTATCCATGTGACTGAGACTAGGTCCATTGGACTGGCTGTCACCAAGGTGGCAAGGACTCCTGGGGACACTGTCCTCTGATTCATCTGGCTTGGTCAGTACCTGACCCTGAGAAACCCAACCTCCTTCATGATTCACCAGTCCCTTGTCTCCTTGCCACCCATCTGCCTTCCCCATGCCCCAGGACAGTGGCTCTGTGGCTTCTGAATCTGCTGCCCTGATGGGGCTCTGATTGTGCTCCCCTGGCCTCACAGCTCTGTCCTCCAGCTGGAGTACTGACTCAACTCCACCTAATCGGCCCCCTAGAACATGGTCATTGGCCAGGTTCCCCTCACTGCCCTCTGTGCCATTTGGGCCTCCCAGACCACTGGCCAGCTCCCGTTCTGTCTTCTCCTCATGCTCTCGTAGATGCCGCTCCAAAGACCCCCGGCTAGGGAAGCCGCGGCCACAGAGGGCACAGCGCACAGTTGACCTCCGGGACCGTCCAGCCCGCCGCCGCCGACTCTCTGAGTGTAGCCTTTGATGGTCTTTCAGAGCCATGCGGTTGGAGTAGGTCTTGGGGCAGGTGGGGCAGCTGTACTGGCCTGTCTCATGGCTGCGCCGGTGGTTCAGGAGGCTGCCAGCGTGGCGGTAGGTCCGTCCACATTGCCCACACCGGAAGGGACGATCTTCCCGAGTCAGCTTTCGGGTACCCCCACGCCGCTCAACGTGCACCCGCTGGTGGCTGGCCAGCTGTTTCCGAAGGCGGAAGGCCTTCCCACACTCACTGCAGCGGAAACGGCGGGGATCTGCATGGATGCGCCGGTGGTTCTTGAGGGACATGAGGTTTGAGAAGCCCTTGGAGCAGGCCTGACAGCCGAAGTGGCCAGTCTGGTGGCTCTGCCGGTGGTTGATGAGGCTGCCGGCATGCTTGTAGGACCGGCCACACACTTCACAGCTGAAGGGCCGCTCAGCACTGGCCTCGGTCTGGCAGCCCTTCTCTGCGGTTTCCAGCCTCGGTTCTGTCTCCTCCCCCTTCACAGTGGTCTCCTCCCATGCCTCTTCTTTCACTCTTGCCACCTCCTCCAGGGGCTCCACTTTAAGTTCTTCCTGCAGCTTATCTACTTCTGCCAGCCCTGGCCCCTCCTCTGCCATGTTCTGGGGCTCGCTGATGCCTCCTGCCTCTGCGATGGGCCCCACCTGGGGCTCTGAGCCTTTGCAGCGAGGATGGTTCCGCAGATGATTACGATAGGCAGCCAGGTTGGGGTAGCAGCGGGAGCAGACGGGGCAGATGAATTCTCCAGTCTGGTGGATCTTACGATGGTTCACCAGACTGCCCCCATGGCGGTAAGTCTTGCCACACTGGTTGCAGCGGAAAGGGCGGGGCTGAGCCTCTAGCAAACTTTCATCACCCTGCACGCAGAGGCTGTCGACCACTGTGGCACCTACTCCCTCTTCAGACTTTGTGTCTCCATCCTCTCCAGAGACAGAGGTCACTGTGCCCTCTAAGACACCATCTGCAACCATTTTTGTGGCATCACCTGATGCTTCCAAGGGGCTGGGAGCCTTGTCTGTGTTAGTCCCAGAATTTTGACTCTGGTGGTGACGCTCCAGGCTCCCTAGGTCATCGTAGGTCTGGCCACAGCAGCCACAGATGTGTCCATAACCTGCTCCATCCAGCGCCTCCACCTCCCGCTGCAGCTGATTGAGGAGCTCTGCTTCCGAGAGCTGCAGTGGTGGACTCTCAGTAGAGGCAGCCTCTGTGGCTCCTTCCTCTTCCCCCTCCTCCTCTGAGCCCTCAGTCATGCCAGAGCAGTTGTGAGCCTGGCGCCGGTGAAGCCTATAGCCCGCCCGCCCAGGGAAGATCATGCCACAGAGGCAGCAGAGGAAAGGCTGTGCTGAGGCTGCCTCCCCAGGCCCATGGTTCTGGAAGTGGCTGCGTAGGGCAGGCAGAGAGTCAAACTCCTTTGGGCAGAGGGAGCACTGATAGATGCCTGGTGGGTGACAGGGCCTGTGACTCAGGAGGCCAGTAGCATGGGGGAAGGAATGCCCACAGTCAGAACACGTGTGAGCATCCTCAGCCTGCCAGCCGGCAACAACTTCAGCAGAGTGAAAAGATGAATGGGGCTGGCCAGTGAGTGGTTTCTGGTCTTTGTCCACCCCAGTGAGGCCATCGCAGAAGCGAGTCCCGTTGCTTTCTTCATCTACTGGAATATCCAAGTTGTCAAGGAAACAGGCCTCCTTCCTTTCCAGTCCTTCCTCAGTGCCTGTGTTCTTATCACCCTGGAAACAGGACTCATCCCTCTCAAACCCACTCTTGAACCCTTTGGATTCAGCCTGCAAACAGTCCCTACCACTTTCCCCTTTGGCCCCACAAGGACTTGCCCCTGAAGGGTCTTGGGGAGAATCCAGACTGTTATGGTCTTCCAACTCCTGGGCCCAGTTCTTCCCTGATGGGAGTTTGCCTTGTCCCCCCGCACCAGCACTGCCAGCCCGCTTCCAATGCCGCTTGCTCCGCCGCCGACTATGGCGTCGCAAATGGTTCTTCATGGCAGCCATGGTGTGGAAGTGCTTGGCACAGGCTCCACAACTGAAGTCCCCTGTCTGGTGGGTCTGCCTGTGGTTGATAAGGCTACCAGAGTGGCGATAGCTCTTTCCACAGTCTCGGCAGGCAAATGCCCGAGAAGGCGACACCTTGGTATCTGTCCTGCTATTTTCCCCTTCCCCATGAGTCAGGCCATGATGTTCAAGGCTCTCAGCATCTTCAAATAGCATCCCACAGATGCTACATATCTGTGGTGCTCTCCTATCTGCTATTGGGGGGATATCAGTGGTCTCTTCTTCATTTTTGCACACATGCTCCTGATCTGTGTGTGGGGCTGCCTCTGCTCCCACTGGGTCAGGTGGGAGTTCCACCTTGAGGTGGCTGGGAGGGCCCTCAGTTCCTGGGTCTGCACTTCGGCGAGCAGCCTTACAATGTACCCGCACATGGTTGCGCAGGGCCATAAGGTTGGGGTACTTTCGGGGACAGAGCGAGCACTGGTACTCTCCTGTCCGATGGCTGTGGCGATGGTTCACCAGGCTCCCTCGGTGGCGGTAAGCCCGACCACACTCATTGCACTTATAGGGCCGATGGTCCAGCATGGTGGTGGGGATCTCTTTCTCTTTGTCGGCAGTGTCAGCCAGCAGCAGGGAAGCTGGCGACACTGATGGCTGAGCATCTTCCCCAACTCCTTGCCGGGGTCTGTGGTGAGCCCGCACGTGGTTTTTGAGGGCAGCCGCATTGAACAGCTGCTTAGAACAGATTGAACAGGGATAGACACCTGTCTGGTGGCTCTTTCGATGGTTGATGAGACTCCCAGCATGGCGGTAAGTACGCCCACAGTCCCCACAGCGGAAAGGCCGGTATTCTTCCAGGCCACCATCCTCCAGCTCCCCAGAAGTGCTGAGTTCTCCAGTGCCATTGAGTATCTGCATACTACGGAGCTGGTCCGGGCTGCTCTCTTCTATGTGCCCATTGGTGGTGGGAATCCTTTTCTCTTCCCACAGTGGCTCCTGCTTTTCACCCTCATGGGACTGCTGGTGTTCTAGCAACTCCCGGGGGAGCCGGAAAGCACGAGGGCAGTGGGGACAGTGGTAAGGCCGATACTGAGCATGGAGTCGTGAGTGGTTCTTCAGAGCCATGAGGTTAGAGAACTCCTTGAAGCAGATGGCACAAGGGTAGACACCCAGGGTGTGGCTCTGGCGATGGTTGGTGAGGCTCCCAGCATGCTTGTAGGTCTTGCCACACTGACTGCACTTGTACCGCCGCTCCTCCTCAGCAGGAGGGGACTGAGTGGGCTCTTGGCCTCCTGTAAAGTTCACTACTGATTCAGCCAAATACTGTTCCAAATTGCTAAGAAGGCTGCTGGCTGGGGTGGGGAGAGGTGGGGCTCTGGCAGGGTTGGTGGCAGGCTCCCAGGCCTCTGCACCCTCCCCAGGATCTGGCTGGCTTTCCCAGCCTTCTCTTTGTCCAGTGGGTGGATCTTCCCAAGTACCCAAAGCTGCCCTGGGGTCAGGTCCAGACTCACAGTCAGGTGTCTCTTCGGTATGTTTTGTCTGGTTTTCCCAGCCTTCCCCAGGGCGAAGCCTCTGGCCCCAGGAGTCAGTAGGCACTGTCTCACCCTGGAGGCATGGAGTGGCTTCTTTGTGGCGTGGGGGTCTGCGCCTGCGGCGGCCCTCAGGAGCATGAGTCCTCATGTGGCTCTTGAGAGCCATGGGATTGGTGAAGTCCTTGCCACAAGTGGTACAGGGGAAAAGGCCAGTCTCATGGGTCCGGCGGTGGTTGACTAGGCTTCCTGGGTGACGGTAGCCCCGCCCGCACTGTTGACAGCGGTAGGGCCGAGGGACGCTGTCAGCCTCCTCACTGTCCTGGTTGGAAGATGGATGGAGCAGTTCTCGGTGCCTTGACAGTTCCGGGACACTAGGAAAGTGGCGCTGACAGTCAGAGCAGCTGAGTGAGAGGGGCGTGTCCTCCATGGGGAATGTGGCAGAAACCTGAAAGTTCAGGAGGAGTAGACAGGTGGCAGCAGCATCTTCTTTTGGTGAAGGGGCCAAGGCCTAGGAAGAGGGGGCAGTGGTCAAAAGGAAGACCTGAATTAACCTTGCCACTTGGCTCTATGAGCAACAAGTTCATCTGAGGCCACTGAGAGGTTCCCCAAGCATCAATGTTCAGGACCTGCTTTCTACCTGATCTAACCTGGAGGCACCATCATTTAAGGCCTCCCTGTACATAAGCTTCCCCAAATGGGACCTACTTAGGCTTAAGCCATCCCTACAAGTATAGATAAGGAAACTAAGGGATGAAACCTACTTCTTTTTATTTTTTTCAAATTTTTAATGTCCATCCTAGTTTGTCCTAAAAATCCTACTTCTGATCAGAGATCATGTATTATCATGTTGCTCAGACCAGATCCAAAAAATATTACTGTCCCTAACCCTGTGCTCTCTATAATTCTGAAACAAACAAAATTTCCTGTGACATCTTAAAAGGAAACCAGAACCTTTTTTAAGACCTTTCAACAAGAGAAGTCCAATCCTTCCTCCTTCACCCTTCAGCTAAATAGAATAGCCTAGATGCACTAAAAAAGCAGATACTTTCTCCAGTTGACAACTGAGGACCTGAGAGGAGAGGTGAAAGGTCCCCTTCAGGGAAAGGGCTAGCTTGTTCCCCACCTCCCTAGTCTTTTCAGCATCACAAGGTCTCCTTTCCAAAAGACTCTCTTGGCCACTTCCTCAACCTACTTCCCCCAAACCCAAACTATCTTTCATCTTGGAAATCCCATCCCATTTCAAGTTAGACTTTCACTTCATTGCCTACCTTTTTAGCTCCCCTGGCTTCTTACCTTACCCTCATCAACCTTTATCATGTTTTCTTCTACCCCCTCTCTTAATACTGATGATGATGACAGGAACTCATCATGCCGAGTGTTACCATGTGCCAGGCACTGTGCTAAGTAAAATATATTCTTTGTGTCACCTAATCCTCACAATACACTGCAATGCCTGTTACCACAGTTTACACACAAGCAAACCCACTGAGGCAGTCTTCACTGCAAAGCCCTTGCTCTCTCAATAGCAGCCCCTCCTGCCACCTGCATCACCTTGTCCTTCTTCAACTTTTGACTCCTCATTCCCATGGGACCCCAATACAATTGCTATCCCCGACTCTAAAGCCCCTCACTGAACCTGCCCCTCTGAACTCTCACCTGACAAAGAGTCCCCGCCCATAATCAACCACCAATGAAGTCCTCTGACCTCACTTATCTCCTCTGCCAATTTCCTCTGAGGACCCCCTACCTCTCACCGGCTGCCCCTTCTGTTCCCGCCGCGGGCGCGTCCGTTGGGGACCCTGAACGGGAGCGCGCCTGCGCACTGGGACGCTTACCCTAACTGCAGCCGCGCGCCCCAAGGGGTGGCAGTGGGGGGGCTCTCGCGCTCCCACACAGGCACACTCAGCCAGGGTTCCCGGGAGGCGGGAGGGGAGGAAAAGACGAAAAGGAGAAGGGGGAGGAGGAAAGAGGTAGAAGGAAGAGGGAGCAGCTGGCACGACTCAGGAGTCTACCCCCAGCTCCGCGGACACTACACTTCCTATTGTTACTAGGAAACAGGAAGTGTCCTAGGTGCAAAAGCTTCCCCGCGAAACTTCCGCCTCGGGAACACTTCCTGTCCCGCCTCCAAGTTGCCTTTCCACACAGACACACTTCCGGCACTGGGTTCTAGCTCGCCTGACTCTGGCTCCGCCCATGTAGGTCACAGAAGTGAGCTTTTACGCACTACCTTAGCCACACTTCCGGCAAGGGCTGCTAAAAATCATTTCGGTGCATATTGAATAAGCGCAGAAGAAAGAAAGCATTCTGCAGCCCTGACCACAGTACTTTGCTGACAATTTTCGGAGGACTCCCTGACTCTTCCCAAGATAGATGGAGGAAGCTTCATTAAAGCTTCATTAAATCCACCCCTCGCTATTAAAGGAAATGTGGAATATAAGCGGATTTAGGTACTACGAAGCTGGAGCATGGCCTTGCTGTCCTCCCACCTTCTAGTTCTTGGAAACACTTCCGGTGGCCTGTCCCAGGCTGGGAATAGGCCGGTGTATACCATCAACGTGCCCGGCGTCTCCTCCCCTTAGGACCCCCAGAGACCTCTTGCAAGCTATTTCTTCGCCACCATAGGCTGGAGGTTCCCCCACAAATTTTTCCTTCCTCCCTAGCCAAGAAAGCTCCTTTCACTTCCGCTCGCCGGCCCGCCTCCCATCCCCTCCTCCCCCCGCTGGGTCCTAGCGCCGGCCCCTCTCTAGCCGTGTCCCAGGCTCCATCAGAGTGAGGAGTCGCCGCTGACACCACGGAGCCAGCCCAAGTCCGCTCAGGTAGGAAACGCCTGCAGGAAGCCGCGAGGGCCCTGGATGGCCCTCGCGCGGACGCGAGCCAAGCTAGCCTCAGTTTCCCTGTGGGCGCCTAAGGCAGACTGGGTTGGTCCAGCGCGGGCGGGGCGGGTGGTGAGCGGCCTCAGACGGGCTCCGGGCCCAGCAGGTCCTAGAACCCGCCGGTTGTCTCCGCTGGCCGGCTGCTGCGGACGCCTAGGTTCGGCCAGCGCGGCTGCCGACCTTGCGCGGTACGGGCCCTGGGGTCCTAGAGCCCGCCATGTTGCGAGCTTTTGTCCCAGCTGCGCGGCCTGCTTAGCAAGGTCCCTGGCGCCTGTGGCCCCCCTCCCCGGCCGAGGCCCTGGTCACCCCTCCCGCGGTCCTAAAGAACGCCATCTTGCAAGCCTTTGTCCCACATTCGGCCCTCCGTCCATTCATTTGTTCATTCTTTCATTCTTCCATCATTCCTTCTTGCCAGGTTCTCCGAGGCTACGTTTTCCGAGGGCTTATAACCAAACTAGTCAGCCCAGCTTCCTGCCCTGCAGGGGCCGCCTGCCTAGCGGGGGTGCTGACATACAGACGGTTGCAGGGAGCGAGGAGCGCTGGATTTCTGCAGCTGGCCCCCTCATCAGCGCCTCTGCCTCTCGTAGGCCCTAACGCCCTTCAAACTCTCACATGCTTGAGGGGCCCCATTTTACTGATGAGGAAACTGAGGCCCAGAGCGCCGCAAGGGCCTTACCTCTCCTGCCCATTAAGTACACCTGAGGGCACTGGGGAACCAGGATATTTGAAGGATGTAAAAGAGTTTTCCCATGTGATAAGGCAATCAAGGGCTCCTAAGGAAGAGGGAATTGAATTGCATATAGGGGTGGGAAGTGGCTGGAGCTTAGATCGATGTTGGGAGGGAGACACTGCTGCTCTAGCTGAGTCCAGACAGTAGGTTGGGATCAGGTTGTGAACTGACCAAGTTGGAAGCCTAGGAGATAATTAGCACTCACCTCTGCACAATTCTGTCAACCACAAGATCTCTCATGGCCTATGAGGCTTGTGTGGTGACTACTTGTTTAGAGATAGGGGGACTGAGATGAATCCTTTTTCACCTCATCCCTGCCCCAGGGTCCTAGCCTAAGCTTTTTGGGAATTGAATCTCTTCGTCCCTGGTGAGACAGCAGAACTTCATCCCCCTCTTAAGCCACTAGTGAAGCAAAGACAGAGTTCCATCACCACAAGAGCGAGCCCAGTATGGAACATTGGAGCAACAGCTAGACCTTGTGAACTTGGAAAGGCAGACAATTTCAGTTAATCAATAGTTATTGGCCAGGCATGGTGGCTCACACCTGTAATCCCAGCACTTTGGGAGGCTGAGTAGAAAAGGTTGCTTGAGTCTGGAAGTTCAAGGCCAACATGGACAACATAGTGAGACCCCCCACCTCTGTAAAAAATTTGAAAAATTAGCCAGGAGTGGTGACGGTACACACCTATAGTCCCAGCTATGTGGGGAGCTGAGGCAGAGGATCACTTGAGCTCAGGAGTTTGAGGTTACAGTGAACTATGGTCAGGCCACTGCACTCCAGCTTGGGCAACAGAGAGAGACCCTGTCTCTGAAAAAAAAAAATAGTTATTGATGGACATTCTCACAGACTCTTACTATGGGGGAGGCAGCGGCTATATAGAGACCTGGGTTCCAGTTGCATCTGAGGTTGATTCCTTCTGTTTGTTTAGGGTCACCAAACAGGGTTCTGGGTCTGGAGGATACAGATAGTCAAAGTTTCCTGGCTCTTTGCCAGAATGGACTTTGGTGCTAGAGACAAAAAATTAACTACCAAACCATAAGATGTGTAAGTGCTAGCAAACCAATAGTTACATAACAGAGTGCAGAAATTTGGGAGTCTGACCACCTGGCTTTAAATACTAGCTGTGACTATGACTACCGTGTTTCCCCAAAAATAAGACCTACCCATAAAATAAGCCCTAGAAGTATTTCTAAGCATTTGCGCAATATAAGCCCTACCCTGAAAATAAGACCTAGTGATGGGAGTGGCTATGCAGCGTATCTGCACAACACATGCATTTTGTCATCGTGGAGCGGTAAAGAAGACGAGCAGCCCTTCTCATCTGCCCCATGAGAGCTCTGTTGCTCAGCATGAGAGATTGGGGCCAATGGTTCTAAAGGAAATAGAGTTGCAAGAAGTTCAGGATGGAATTCAAGGGGTTTGGAGAGTTATGATGTTCCAGAAGACGACTTAACTGTATTTGAATAAATGTAGATTGTTGCACTGTACTTAAAAAAAATAACACATCCCCTGAAAATAAGCCCTAGGTGTCTTCTTGAGGAAAAATAAATATAAGACCCTGTCTTATTTTCAGGGAAACAACGGTAGTTAAATTCTTTGTGGTGTCACTTCTTATAAGAACACTAATCCTATTGGGCCAGCGCCTTACTCTTATTACTTCATTTAATCTTAATTACTTGTATAAAGGCCTTATCTCCAAATGTAGTCAGAGTGGGGTTTAGGGTTTCAATGATTTTGGGGTAGGGGAGACACAAACATTCAGTCCATAATAAAGTTCTAGGCAGCTGTGAGATTAGTTTGAGTAGCATACATAAAATGCTAGAATGACACCTAGCCCATGGTAAGCTTGCAAAGAGTTTTATCCATCTCATATAATGGGTATAAACAAAGAAAGAAAAATGAAAGAAAATATGATATATAAAATTTAAAAGAAAAAAAAAAGAGTCTGGGCATGGTGGCTCATGCCTGTAATCCTAGCACTCTGGGAGGCCGAGGCGGGCGGATGTTTAAGCTCAGGAGTTCGAGGTTGCTGTGAGCTAGGCTGACGCCACAGCACTCTAGCCTGGGCAACAGAGAGACTCTGTTTCAAAAAAAAAAAGAGGAGGGGATAGAGAGTGATTGGACAGGGTAAAGATAGTATTAAGAGAGGTGATTAAGAAAACCCTCTTTGAGGAGGTGACAGGGAGCTGAGACAGATGAAATCCAAGAGATAGCTACACACAAAGATCCTAGAAGAATAGTTCTGCCAGAGGGAACCACTAGTGCAAAGGCCCTGAAGCAGGCAGGAATTTGGCTGTTGGAGGAGAAGAAAGAGGGCCAGTATGGGTGGAAACTAGTGAGCCACGGATGGGAGTGGGAGGTGAGGTAGGCAGGAGTTCAGCAGTTCAGGGCCTTGCTGGTCATGGAAAAGATACTGGTCTTTCTCCTGGAAGCAGTGGGAAGTCTCATAATTTGGCTAATAAACCATGAGTGAATGAAGACTGGTAGAGAAAGGGTCTAGCCCAGGAGCCTGAAGACTTGGGTTTGAGTCCTATGTGTCCTTGTGCAAGTTTTTCCCTTGTGGGCCTTAATCTCAGCAACTGAAAAAGGGGTATAGTAAAGATTAAAAATGCCTATCTCCTAGGAGCTTGTGAAGACTCCTAGGTTAAGGATGTGTGTTTGGTTCCTAAGTGTTGGTTGGAATGATCCAGAGAGTGTGTTTAAAGTCCAGATTCCTGAGTCCTACCTAAAGCTCCCTGAGTGATTATTCTGATTCGGGGTTCACAGACCTGACTTGGAGAAACATCACTTTAGGGAGTGGTGGGTGGAAGAGGCCTTATAAACGGTGAAGTGAGGAGTTAATGGTGGGATTTTTGACAGAGGCCTAGCCTACCTGGCCCTCTGTTCATGCAGCTGGGCATCTGCTGGGACTAGCCTGGCACTCCCTTTCCTTTTCCCTTGGGAAGTGCCTTAGGAGGAGGAATTTAACCGTCTAGCTACCTGGCATGTGGTTCACAGGTAGGAAGACTAAGGCCCAGAGCTGGGAAGGGACAATATAGAGGCCAGAGCTCAGAACTGATGGGCCAAGCACTCTGAGAGGGAAACAAAGACACAAAGGGTGCTGGCTGTGGTCTCAAGGTAGTTCTGCAGGGATGAGAGAAGATACAGATACAACCTGAGCTCAGGGTTCTTATCAGTGTGAACAGCAGACAAGTCTGAGAGGCCCCAGACTACTGAACAAGGGCCCAACAACTTAAGGCAAATTAAACACCTGGATTTAAGTCCCAGCTGCATGACTGGGTCACTGTGTGACCATGGGCAAGTCACTTAGTTCTTGGAACCTCAATTTATTTATCTGTAAAGTGGGGACATAATACCTATCTCAGGAAGATACAAGAGAATTAATTAAGGTAGCA